GAACAACCTCTTATGGGAATAGTGAAGGCAAGGCTCGCTGCAGAAGTTAACCTCGTGCGCGTTCTTGGAGTCAGTGTCCTACTGTTACAGGACAACTGAGGGGGCGAAGATCCTGGGCGGAGTGCGCAAGTCGAGCCCCTGAAGGTGGTCAGAGATCCTGAGTACTGAGGTGGACATGTCTTCCAGAACCAGGAAGCCGTTCCAGGAGTAGAGGCGTCTGGAAGGGACACAATGCGTCGAAACTTCGTGAAGTAAACATCCCACGTCCAGAATTGCAGGGAAAAGCGGAAGTCGAAGATGTGTTTACCACGGACCGACTTCGTGGAGGAGAGACCTTCATGAGGACATTACTGTTGCTCAGCTGCTCAAGAACTCTTGTCTTTATCCCGAGACAGATAAATTCAATCTAATCCCTCACAAACAATAGCCTCACGACCACGAAATTTTCAAATATTTTTTATTTTCTTCTGATGGGGTGAGACTGAGTCCAATTGGTACGTCGCCCACTGTTGGCCTATTGTACCAGCCCAGGATGGTAAATGATGAGCGTGGAGCAGTCGGTGGAATCATAATTGGCAGGGGAAACCGAAGCAGTCGGACAAAACTTGCCCCAGTGCCACTTTCTCCACCACAAATCCCACGTGACTTCACCTGGGCTCGAACCCGGGTCGCCACAGTGGGAAGCCAGCTACTAACTGCCCGAGCCATGGCAGGGCCCTTTTTGACATGTTAGTTTTATTTGTAACGGTAACCATGACGCACGTAGCCTGAGGGGTAGTCACAAACTTTTCGGAACAACGTACTGACTCCTTCTTCAGGTTGGACAACTAAGCCAAGCAAACAGAATAGCTTTGTTCCCTGTCAGCTCGCCCTACTCTCATCTCTGAAGATGCAGAGTCCAGAGTCTAATGGTGCCATATTTAAAAAAAAGGACAGAAATTAGAAACAAAAGTATTATTATGAAGCGTTAAGTTTCAGTACCGTGTTCATAAAATCCTGCCACCGGTTTCTGTGTTCAAAAATTTGAATCCAGTCCATATTCTCATATCCTATTTCCATAAAAAAAACATTTTAATATTATCCTCCCTTTTAAGTTCAGGTTTTACAAGTGTTTTTTTTTTTCCTTCATAATTTACGACTAAAATTCTGTGTGCCTTTCTCACATCTCTCAAACGTGCTACACGCTACGTCTCCTGGTCCTCCTTTACTCATATGTGGTCGCCCCAGAAACATTTGTGTAGGGTAAGAATTGTGAAGCTCCTAAGAAACATTTGTACCGATCTACCAAACTACATGGCGTCGCGTCCGAAATACTGTGCACTTGTTTGAGGAGGTTTTGTGATTTATTTGCGTGTATTTTATTACATTTTCTCATTCAGGTTATGCAATATTTATCTTGAGAACTGCCAGACAAAAGAATATCGTTCCTATATCAACATGTAAAAACGTTTCACGTGAGCAAATTTCTTACAGAAGTCAGGAGATAATGGGGGCCTTATTTGTCTCTGAATTAGTCTAATTTTGAGAGCAGGGCAAATAAAATAAAATATAAGCGTACATTAACTTTCCTGACACATTTATCTTTTTGTACTGTGTTGGGTAGTGACTGGCAGTTTTCACATCCGGTGTATCCGAGACAGAACGCCGTTTCCCATGCCCGAAACCTGGGTTCGAATGCTACGCAAATATCTCCTCTTTCTATTCCTTGTAGGAACATTCTCGATCAGTAGCACTGTCACCGTAAAGCAAAGCGATGATACAGAGAAAAATACGGTTGTGAGTCCCGCGTAGCCGGAAACCAAGAATGACTGTGCTGTCGAGGACCAGTAGCAATTTACCCTAAACCATATCTCGATCTTCTTCTCTCCTGTGTTACTTTTCGACTCCGTCAGAAAATGTTGCATGAATTGGAAGGGATTTGGAAGGGAACGGTAATGGCCTCAAATCGAAGCATTATTACGGCATTTATTAGACTGGAATGAGGAAAACCACGGAAAACCCTAATTCACGATAGGCGGTGTCTCGGCCTACATTCGAACCATGTACCGCATGAATATCATCATGTTGCAGTCAGGACGTTGCAACGGTTGCTAACCTGTCTGAGTCAAACTGCCATTTCAAACGTCTTCACTGGTTTCCTAATCAGTAACCTGCAGGAGCTGAGGACCTGACACCGGTGGTTATGAATACTTCTATCTTCTAGGACATAATGTCGTGTTATCCCCCTGAAAATTAACGGACGTTTCGGAGGAAGATACCACGTCAATCTTCAGGATCGAAGAAGAAGCCAAGCAAGAAACCAGCTTGAATTATGTGGATGGTTTCTCAATTCGCACGTTCTTAGACCCCGTCGGTTCACTTTGCACGGAAGAGACCGCGTTACATCGTACACCTCGTGATCAACCGAGTTCGTAGTTCTTGTTCCCCGCACACTGCCCGTGTGTGGGGCTGTATTTTGGTTGTAAAGAATTCGATATCGAGGATTTAGTGGATTTACGTGTTTTTAGTCCACTCTGAATAAGAAAAATTCGTTTCTGGAATCCGGTCCATATGTACGTATTTTTTTATTGCTAATGGGGTGGGACTAAGTCCCTTGTACTGCGGCCACTTCTGGCCTATTGTACCAGCCCCAGATGATAGGTGAGGGTGATTGTGGAGCAATTGGTGGAATGAAGATTGGCAGGGGAAACCGAAGTACTTGGAGAAAACCTGCCCCAGCGCCACTTTGTCCACCACAAATCCCACTTGATCGAACCCGGGCCGCCGCGGTGGGAAGCCAGCGACTAACCGCTTGAGCTATGGCGCGGCCATAGGGTGATATGTAAGTAGTGCACCTGAAATGTTGGATGGATTATGTTTATGTTCGATATTCAAGAGTTCGTCCATCATAGGCCGATGCATTGCAGCTCCGAAAATAAGGGCCCTTCAGAGCTGACCAGTAACACAAAATTAAGTATTTCTCGAAAACGGTTGCAAAAATTATGATTGAATTTAAGTAGTTTATGGAGATCACCCCCCCTTAAATAACACTACAGGGGGCCAAACTATTATACAAAAAAGCATGCGAAGTCTGTTTGCAGAATCGATGTGTTGAGTCCGGTTTGTTTTATGCTTTCAATTTTTGTGCGATGTTCATTCAGTTTCAATTCCTTAAATACGCCTTCCTTTGTTTCACGGTCCGTTGAAGCGCATTTCAGCGTTCGTCTCTCAAATTTGATTTAACCGGCTCTGATTCTGTTAAGGTGTATTGTCAAGTGTTTGGAATCTGGAAGCCATGTTTCCATGGAAACGCAATAAAAACAGACCGTTGCATGGGAATGACCCAAACACAAACGCGTTTCCCCGGAGATGGACAACAGAGGGATCGTTGCGTAATAGCGGATGAAACCGAACAGTTGAGAAAGGTGTTCACTAAGCAGTCCGAAAAACACGTATATAAAGGGGTTGAGCCCCATCTGACTGACCGTCAATCGCAATGTGACTTTGACTTTGACAAAGGACTCGGCCAGTGTGGAGGCGGGTTCGAATACCTCCACCGTCACCCTGGAAGTCGTAGGAGTAGATGAAGAGGGAAGCCTCGAATCTGAGACAGTATTATATGGTCTCGAGTACCAAGGGACTCGGACCCGAGAAAGACTGCGCTGTCAAGGGCCAGAAGCATATACAAAAGACAGACCCGTCCTCTCGTCAGAGAGGGCGCCCACAAAAAAGAAGACCATAGCTGCAAACAGTAATAAGGATCTGGTCGTAAGCTCCAGATGGGTGCTTTATGCCGAGAGAGACTGGCCGACTGACCGTCAGTCGTGACGTAAGACTCATGAGACTCAAACAGTTCAGATGAAACGAGAGGAGGACATCAGTCAGTTGTGGTCAGAGACTTGCCAAGAGCAGATCAGCAAGGCAAGAAAAACTGTGATATTGAACGTGATGATAATTGTACTTGTACTTGATTGTATAAAAGCGAGAGTCCAATAAATATTCGCTAAATCCTTGACCTCGGTGGAAGTTGTTCGTCGCGTTACCTAGGAGACACGTGACTACTGGTTTCTCAGAAGTAGGTTATCATGGAAACTCGCAACAACATTACATAGGTAACACGCGACAATGTCATATTCAAACACTGCAGCAACATGCTACAACTCACAAAAGTCTCGCTAGTTCTAATTAAACGACAAAGTTGGTATGGAGTCATTAAATCAATACATACTGCATATATCGTATTAACCTGAGTATACTGCTTCTAAGAAGTGAGGGGTCACCTTATTTTCGGGTCCTTAAGAATGAATTTGATGATTATGAGTTCCTGTTATGCCCTTAAGTTCATAAAGGTACAGTTGTCCTTGTGCTTAACTAAGCACCATGCCATAAAGGCGTATGGGGGAGTTGATGTATAGATCCACGTATTCTTGACTTCGCCCCTGCCGAATTACCCTCAGGGAAAAGGCCCCCGATACCAAATGGATTGGAGACCGGGTGGGTCCACCATACACCTTCATGGGGTAGTGCTTAACTGATTAAGCACAGGGACAAATTTACCTTACCTGACGATGGCGTCAGCGCGACGGGTCGTGAGGCGTCGAAGGTAGGAACATCTGGGAAGGAGACGGAAAGAAGAAGCTGTCGCCTGATAGAGGTAATATACCGGCATTGGATGGAGGGACTGAAGAAAACCATGGAAAACCCCAGTCTCGATAGCCGGTGACAAGAACGAGGTTCGAACCAGCCACTACATGAATACAAATCGCTTTCACATTCTTCTGACGAACCTTTGCCCTTAATGTGACGACACATATGTGTATACCAGCAAGTAGTTACGAATAGGAGCAACAGATGGTAGCATTAAACGGCACTAGAAGGTACGCTTCAGTAATTAAAGCGATGTTAATCAATGCTGGAGAAAAGAAATGCCGTAGCGTACCGCTAGACAGCAGCACTGCTCACAGAGTTGTATCTCTGTACAATTTGGGGGGAGTGTTCTTCAAAACAAAGTTACACAGAAATGATTTCATCAATAGATTTTTTGCTCTAAATACAATAATGAAGTTAATCACATAAATTTCCCGTTGCAATTTCAACGGACTTTATGCTACTTTAACGATAAAATAACAATTTAACATACTTTAACCAAGATAATTGGATGTTTAATTCACTCCTTCGTTCAATTCTTGCTCTTGAATACGCCTCTGCTCTCAAGCCATGGTAAGAGATACCTGACGGCAATCTTGTAATTTTCACCGTACATAGAACGTCCAGGGTTCAAGCCTCTGATAATGGCGTCATCTAAATTAAATCCGCAGTCAGGATCAGACTGCATCACGGCGTAAGGCCCGAGCAATGAATACAGACAATACGTCGCTTTCCTGTCAAACTCTTCACGCAGTTCCTGCAGAGATATCGGTGTCTGTGTGTAGCCCAGAACTGTCAGTGTGTCACACAACACCGTGTGATATTCCTGCAATCATAAATACATCATAATCTGAAAAAAAAATTAAAAATATACAGGGTGTGTGAATTTTAAATAATCTTAAATAGTACTTTTAAAATAGTCAAATTCCTATGCTATACACATTTAATTTAAATGAAATTAAAAAAATGAGTACTTCGGTAAGGCACTCGAGGTCAAATTTATATTTCTCGGGCATATTTCGGTAACTGTTGTAGTAATTAGATGCAGAGACAATTCCGCCCTCAAATTTATCTCGTAACTTTGCGTAGGCCTGTGACAACCCGTGACATCGCAACGTTACTGACGAGAAATATCGGTCAGGATAGCCGATCTGCGGGCCAAGATCTGAACCCGGGACTTATAGAATACACACTCAACCGCGATATCCGCGAACTGTTTCAACAACCTCACGCTCCCACAGATTAACCCAAAAGATAATTCGTGTACACATTATTCTACTGTTTGCGACTGAAGGACTGAAGAGCGCCGTGTTAAAACATCTGCAATTTTGTGACATACCTGGCTTCACACCACGCTTTTCTAACACTCTATTTGTATGCTCGATTGTTATTTAGTGTGCAATTCTTCTCTGAATCACTCTGTATGAAAGCTACTCACCTCTAGGAGTCGCTCTATATGGTTGATGAGCACTTCTAACGTGCCGCTGGTCGTGATGAAGTAGTGTAGGTCTAACACGGGTGATGTGAAGTGAACCAGCTGGAAATCCACTAACAGGGCTGCGCTCGCGTGACCCCGAAGCAAAATATTGTTCACCCACAAATCGCCGTGTGTCAGAACGTTGAAAGCCGTTTCCCGTCGTTTGACCGTCTGAAGTACCAGCTCGATCACCAAGTCCGCCCGGTTTCTCAATTTATCGGCGTAGCTCTGCCACTCCTTGGGCCAAGTATCCAGTTCCTCCGCAAGAGTTCGTGACATACCTTCCGGAAGCATAATGTACAGAGTGTGCTTATTTTTAAGGTTCCATTATTAGGAAAATATATTAATGGAGTGACCAGTATGTACAGCACCTACCTATATACACTATCGTGCTTATGCGGTTCATACCAGAACCCACAGTTTAACTGTTACTTTTTTCTCCAAAACATGGCTAAAGGCGTGCGAGATTTGAAGCTCAAGTGATGGGGGAATATGACTGCTGTCTTCTGGGATGTAACGCAGTTTAGTTTGTTGGTGGGTTACTAACTTTTCTGACGAACTTACTACTTCCATCTTCAGGGCATAAAATTAAGGTAGTATGTTCTTCCAAAAACGCTCGTAACCTCCTACAAGACTATGAGGGCGTCACATCTCCAAAGACAATAATTTTCATTATTAACTGCCCATCCCTTCTGTACCTGCGAAAAAGTCTGCCCACGGTTTACTGAAAACAGGTTCAGAGATGAAGTTGATGTCGTATTCCTTCATGGAGTCAGGGACCTGTTCATGAAGGACAACTGAGGCGGCGTGGAACCTGGCCAGAGTGCGCATGACCAGCAGACATTGGTCCAGGTCCAGTCCCTTACGCCTTTCCCCCATCCCGAATCCTGTAGCAGACAGATCCTCCAGAACCAGGAAAGTTTTGCACGCGTAGATGCATTTCGGAGAAATGGGTTCAAAATTTCCTGTAAAGAAGAAATGTCCATGATGCACTGTCACATTTTGTTAAGCAAAATGCACAGTTTCTAAGATTATTGTTTTTATATCGTTTGCGTGAGAACCCCCAAATCTTACATGGACAATTTTAATTTCCATTGCCATTTTGACCCTTAAAAGCCTGATCTATACAATATATACAAAGTCAGTCCGTACCTCACAGGAAACACATTACATCTCCATAACAACGACCAATCGGTTCATGTTGTTTGGGGAAACAGCCACTGTATATTGTGAGAACCATAGGGAACATAGAAACACATTCTGTAGGCAGAAAACAGAGGATTTTTATGTTAATCTAATGTGTTTCCTGTGAGGTACGGACTGAAGTTTATATGGAACTTCAATCCGTACCTCACAGGAAACACACTCCGTCTCCATGACAACCGCCAGAGGGTTAATGCTGTTTATTGTGAGAATCATAGTTTTTTATATAATAATGCGGGTGGTACATTTAGCAACCACTGGGATCTAAAGGGTTAAACTAAGCTAGAAACCAATAAGAAGCAGGCGACAAGCATTATCAGCATTGTGTGAACCTCAGACTCAACGTAACTATTTTTGTCTTGTGAGATGAGACGTTATGTAATGTGGAAGATACACACTGACGTTTAACCCTTAGATAATTGCAGCAGGTTTCTCCGTGACATTTATAACTTATATAAAAGATTACACGGGTGAAGATAATGTTTATCTCCCAAGATTTTACTTCTTATTCAAAAGGAACAGGGACGCAAGAGGCGACATTACCAGGCATAGCCTTCTGCAGAAGTGCTGACATCCTGGGCAGCGTGCTGACGTACATTTCCTGCTCCCTCCTGTAGATGCTGCTCTCACTGAATAATCTGGCGGCCTCCCCATCCTCCATGCGACACTTGATTATGAGGTGGTGGGAATCCCCGGACTTCGTGCTCACAACCAAACGTTGCATGCTGCTGAGATAGTTATCCCCCTTGCTCGTACCTTTCCTCACCTCAAGGTCAGTGACGGTCAAATCGCCGTAGTGCGTCCGTAGCCACAGTTCCAATGTCTTTTTGTCCATCCATGGTGGTAGAACTGGAGTCTCTGCTTCTGACATTGCCTGTCCTAGTACACAAACAACATTCAGTAATTCAGTCCTAATAAGAGTACGTTTTTCTGAGTCGTAACACCTTGAAGTATGGGCGCCGCCCGAAGTCTGAGAGAAACAAATCGCTTAAGATGGAAGCGTAAACCTTGTAAGAAACAAACATATGAAGGTGGCAAACTGCTGGCTTCTTGTTTCGATTTCTCTTCGGCGCTCAAGATGGTAGCAATATATTTCTCAGAAACGTCGGGCTATATCCGAACTACACGGCGTTATAACCCGGAAAAATCGTAGCCTTCATAGTCACTGTACAACTAATTTCTAATTGTTATTATCCATCGACGGTAAGAGCATTGGAGATTCTGTTGTTCACATTATGCTTTCTAGAATACATAAAGTATTCATTAATTAGTTAGTAACTGAGGTTACTAACGTCTGAGGTATGACGCAGTATAGTCTGCTAGCAAGTTATCGACGTTTTGGAGGAGCCTGGCGCCTCTTACACCTTCAGGGTACAAGAAAGCTTATGTCCTGAAGACTGTGTCAGCATGTTCCTCCGAAACCGCGGTATCTGCCACAAAATAACACGGTACCATAACCTTAATCCTCACTGTGAAAACGCCAGACGTAACGTAGTACATTCAAATTTCAGCATATTTTGAGAAACAAAATCCCTATATGGGAGATTTCGTTGAACAAACAGAGATTCCCAGCATTTTATGGAAGCCAAAGGTTCATTACCGTGTTCACAAGGGTCCTACACTGGTCCCTATCCTGAGCCAGATCAATGCAATCCATACCATCCCATGTAAGATCCATTTTAATATTGTCCACCCACCTACGTCTTGTTCTTCCTTGTGGTCTCTTTCCTTCTGGCTTTCCCACAAATATCCTATATGCATTCCTCTTCTCCCCATTCTTGCTACATGCCCTGCCCACCTCATCCTCCTTGACTTGATCATTCTAATTATACTTGGAGAAGAGTACAAGTTATGAAGCTCCTCATTATGCAGTTTCTCCAACCTCCTGTCACTTCATCTCTCTTCGGTCCAAATATTCTGTTACAAAACACCCTGTGGTGAAACATACAGAGTTCTTAAATGTTAAAGTAGGTGACACATGTAGAAAGCATTGTACTTTAGAGGACTAAAGGGTTAGTATTGTGAGCTTCAAGAAACAGGTTTCCTTACCTGGTAACTGCAGTCTGCTTAATCTAGCTGTGATGCCCAGAACCCATATAAATGATATTTATACCACTTGAGCACAGATAAGGACACACTTCAGATAATACTAATAAGTGCTGAGTCACTCCTTCATTGTTTGGCGCGTGGCTTTAGTACAGAAAACTATTGCACCACGTAATTGGTAGACCTGTCATATATATTTCATTTAAGTAAACAAGCGAAAATCTCGTTTGATTTGGGGTTTTCTCACAGCGGTTACTGTGCATTTGTCTTAAGGTCGAAAGAGTAAGCCCAGGTCAGCTAGACGCCTGCTTCTTCGTCATAACTTGATTAGCTTATTCCTCGACCTTGAACAGGGAGACAGCATTTTCCTCCTGAACTTGTCAACTTCTACCAGACAACGCGTCAGAACATCCTATGACAGTGGCTCTCAAACGTTGCGAGACCGCGGCCCGGCAAATTCTTTTTATATGACGAGGGCCCGGTACCGGGCCGCGGCCCAGGGGTTGAGAAACACTGTCCTAGGAGACAATACTCTTCAAATCAAATTCAAAACTTGGAACTAATTACTATTCAAACCAGAGAGCCACGGGAGCTCCAACGTCCATCTTCATCGTCACAATTAATTAATGCATAAAGACTAAAATGCCATCAAGTTGAACAATTTTTTAATAAACAGCTAAAGTACTGTCACGTGACTGTGACTACGGACGGGGTTTGGATTGGTAATCGGATTTACTGAACACTTACAGAACGAAACTACAAGTAACTACGGCAGTCTCACTAACTTACTCCAAAAGTAACTGTAACTACAACACACATAAAGTGCGCTTCAACAGCCGTTGCTGGGTAGCGGCTTCTAACGGCGGATGTTCCCCTTCCTCTGGTTCTCCCGAACTGTCTCCTGCCTCAGCTACCGGCTTCTCACTTCTCTCAACTGCAACTGTCAACTGACTCAACCAAAGACAAATTTATGTGATGACCGACGGCCAGTCGGTCTGTCTGTCTTGGTGTCAAGCACACATCTGGGGCCCATGACCAGATTTTTATTACTGTCAGTTGCAGGTCTGCTGATGTGGGGCGCCGTCTTTGACCAAAGGGCGGGTCTGCGGTTTAAAATTGCTTCTGGCCCTCGCCAGCGCAGTCAGTCTCGGGTCCGAGTCCCACGGGACTCCTAACTATATTTTACTGTCTCAGATTCGAGACTCCACAACCTGGAGGGCTAGGCCCATCAATTCATATCTCCGAGGGACATGATGCCCCGGTTATAGCCCCAGGCACTGGGTTCGCTTTTCGTCACCTCCAACGACTGCAGGGCTGCAGTGAAGGTACTCGTCCCCGGCTCCATACCGGGTGTACCTATTATTTCAAATATAAGGCGCCCTCTAATTTAAGACTTGTCCAGTTTTTGAATGTGAGTTTTCGGGGCAAAAATTAGAAAGGTGCATATTTCTGGAATTTTAGTTAAGTAGAACAACAAACAATCCCTGTAACAGGCCGTGGAAGCCCACATGTTTGTGAGACGTCGAGGCTCCCATATTTTCTAGACAATCAACTCACAGATGACGATGAGGTTGCCAGCCTTACTTGCCGGCCGCCTTTTACACCCAGGAAGATTCCTGGTACTCATTTCTGTTAGAGGCTGAGGCGACCCCAGGGCCATAGCGCAGCTGGAAGGATTAGGTCAATTGTAAAATCCAGTGACCCCCATCAGGAATCGAACCCACGACTTTTCGGCTTGTAGCATAGTGCCCTTCTCGCATCTAAGGCACGCGTCAATTTTTCAATGGGGGGGGGGGTTAAAATGTGAGCCTTATAGTCGAAGTAATAATGTAAATCGTCGTGGAAATGAACATCAGGTCTGTGTAATCAACTGTTTTACAGTACCACAAATTTGCTTTCAAATGACCTTGGAAAGACATCTGATATCAGTAAATTCTACTATACTTCATTCTGCAAGTCAACAGGGTACTTGCAAACAATGGAAAGGCAGGTACAAAGATGAATTGAAAGCGCAGTTCACATTACACTGACTATTTTGCAATATCCGCCCATCCTGCATGGGCTGGGATGCTCAGTCGGTATAGCAACTGGGCTATCACCTCCATGGACAATAAGGCCAAATTGCCCAATGGACCCCAATCTACAAAGAGCTCCCTGGGACCATTGCACCACCATGACCCTGACGTCTTCATCCAACCCCAATTTATGGCCTTTCGGCACTCTATTGAGGGGTCCAAAAACATGCAATCACACAGTAAGAGGTCTGGGCTGTAATGGGGACGATCCAACACCTTCCAGCCCATGAAGCACAGCATTTCTTGGCCACACACAAGACAGATGCTGACATGCCAGTAGTATGCCTGCCTCAGTGCCAATGGCAACTATTTTTATTGGCCTCTACTTCTCTGTCCAGAAAGGGTTTCAAATGAACAAGCCTCACACAACAGCTCCGTCAGTAATGTGATGGGCCGAAACACGCGGGTTTGATTTACAGCACAAGCCTGGGTATTTCCTTTGTCATTCTAATGACTACAAAGTCCAGTCAGACTCCTTTGCAGTGTCAGAGTTTCTCTCCCCAGGGGTAAAGTAACTCCCAGTGTCGTGACACAGTAAAATATCATCAGGAATCCTGCGGGAAACAAGAATGACTGTGCTGATGAGGTGCAGGAACAATTTACCTGACCTGACCAAACTCAGCACTTACCACTATTTACACCTGAGGATAACAATGAATAGAGATTTGCCTGTAAATGTTCCTGTAGGCCTTCATCGTGTGGTGACTGTAAACATTAACCATTTTTAATATTGTATGACAAATGGACCTTAAATCCACAGGGATAGGTTCAGAGTGCTACATTCAATTTAATAGGTTCAGGGACTTCTCTAGTAAGGGACAGTATGAGCCACGTGCATTTCTGCACGTGGATTGTAACTCTCTGAATATTTATCTGAATTAAAAAAAAAAAAAATTGCAATGAGGAAAATTATCTCAAAAGGCATAATATAAGCAGCAAAAAGTGTACTGGACATAAAATGTGTTTCATTTTTCTACACAACTCCTGTTCAGTGCATTTTCCAGTCCGATAAATATTCAATAAGTTATACCTAACACTCGCATAGACTCATAAAGCTCTTGATGTAAAGCGTGTGATTTTAAGAAAAATCTATTTTCATGTTGCTTCCGGCAGACAGACAGAGTGAAGCATTTTTAACACTTTTCACTGCGAACAACATAAAAACTGGTACATGACCAATGTTTAGCCAATGTGAGACAGTTCAGTGCCATTATAAGCACCCCACAACCAGATTCTATCGACGAATGAGAAGCTATGACAACATGACATGAAGAAAGGATAACATCAGGTAACATAAAACACGTAAAAAGAGAATGAAAACTTGTATTATATTTACATAAAGTAATTATGAGTCTGTATTATTTACTTGTCTTCTCAGTGAGTCCCTCAGTTCTCTCACACATCTCAGCTCGTTTCTCAAACTCTGGATCTGCGGACACAAACAGAACACATAACCATCCTGCCATTTACACCTCTCATTTCTGCACCTAACACCACACGTGTTTCAGCACTTAACAGAGCATCATTATGTAAACCACAGCGAAAAAAACAACAGCAAATTACAAATTTAAAAAGATTTGGAAGAAGCAGATGCAGCCTAACTGAGGAACTATCTGGAGGGACTGAGACAAACCAAAAATATGCCAAAGCCAAAGTGCCAGTCAAAATTTGATCCAAGTGCTTCCTGTATAAGTCTGGAGCATTATTTTTGTACAGTTTATTTAATGACGTCATCATTGATCCAGACTGTATAGCATCAAAGGGTAGGACAGTCAGTGACAATGAATAGGAATCAATGCGAAAGGAATTGCTTGTGACCATGAAAAGCATGAATCATGACAGTCACTGGCTGAGATATGAACTGAGCATGAGCTGAACATAAGTTGAAGTGTTACAGCTTCACCCAACTTGCTCAGTCTGATGTCCTGAACATGTATAACAGATACTTCCATCTACTTCTAGGTTTTCAGATGTCTCGCTCTCCTTTGGGATGATGTATGTTTACTGCTTTTGGCTGTCTGCTATCTCGCATCCTATTTACGTGCTGCTTCCAATTTACCTGGCAGTACTTTACAGAGAACACCTTGACTGTTACACTCGATATCTCACCTTGAGCGAGTGAGCCTCCTGCACATGCCGTGGAGCCTTACTCTTGTAGCCGCTAGCACTGGTAATGTTCGTCATCTTCACCAGCTCCTTCATCAATGTCTCCTCCTGCTTGCAGGCCTGTGCATCCTCCTGGGAAGCAGCTACCGATCGCTGCCCAAGAGTCGAGACAACAGGCATGAGATACAGAAACCACTCACCACAAGAAATGCTATAAAATCCTATAGAACTAGGGGAATGCTGTAGAAAAAAGCAGGTTAAACTTTTATAATAAAGGATGAAAGATTTTTTTTTTCTGTGGCCTGTAGTCCGCAAGCGAACTATACCGACCAAGCAACCACCTCTTGTCAGCGAAGTTAGTGCCAATTCTTGCGGATAGAGGAGGTCACGTGGTCAGCACAACAGATCCCCACAGCCGCTAATCTCAGTTTTCTAGACCAGATCCGCTATTTCCTTGAAATATCTTCACAATTATCCTCACGAGGCAGAGTGGACCCTGTTCCAGACCCAGTACTTCTCACAAAATGTGGTAGCGCCGGGAATCGAACCCGGAACCTCTTTCTCTGTAGCCAGGAACTCTGACCACTAGACCACGGAGGCAGTCTTGGTAGAAAAACATAAATAAAATATAAACCAAAAGGAAAAACAGACTCTTAGACGGTCAAAGAATGAGAAGTCATCATAAATAAGATTCATACCCTACCTTCTGGTCACATTTACACATATATATATATATATATGGTACTGTCTGCTCCAATTCAGTTTCAGATGCAATAATCTTCCAGGAATGCTGATGGAGGTGTCACATGATGTATTTCATGTATGCTGACCGCAGTGTATGATAACAGATGGCACAGCACATTGCAGCTAGGATTCTCTCCCTTTAAGTTACATGTATTTACAGGTTGAGAGATGCCAAGCTCAGGAATGCTGCGGCCACAGGGAAGCACACTCCCTCACATGCACTTCAGGCTTCCAAGGAAAAAGTCCATGAGGTATTTAAGAAAATGTGGTAATAGTTACGTACTTACCTCCAACCTAACTACCTCTCTACTGGTAGATGCCACATTAATATAATCACAAAAGCTGACCTCTCTACTGGTAGATGCCACATTAATATAATCACAAAAGCTGACCATGGACAGACACAAAGCAGACTACCTTCACAACGAGATGCACGCAGCCACTTGGTCCCACAGCCTCAGACACGCAGCTGTCCCTTTGTACTGGAGATTCATATGCTGATAAGACAATATCACCACAACCCGCCAATGCCTTCATGACAAGCAAGTGCTCGCTGTACACTTCCTGCTCCAACGCTGAGGATGTCACAATGTGAACTACAAGTAAACATGAATCTGTTTCACACAGACAGAGAATTTCTTAATTTCAGTGAACACAGACTGGGGAGGTAACATCTTAAACCCACATGACAGATACACGTAATCATGCCGCAGCTCAGGTGGTTAGTTGATGGCTTCTCACTGCAAAAGCCTACGTTCAATACCAGGGAAGTCCATGTGTGATTTATGGTACACCACATGGCAACTGGAGCTTGTTTCTTTACAAGTACTTTCGTTTTCCCCTACCAATTCTCATTCCAACAATGTTCTACTCTCGGGCCCACTTGCAGCCTGTGTACCAAGGGACTCAGTCTCACCCCACCAAAAGAATAAAAGTTAAAATGTCCCTGTTTAATTAAGCACCACATAAGGACATGGGGAGAGTGGGGGTACGGTCACAGGAATTTGTAACCCTTGCACTAGACAGAAGTGAGTGACAGCTTGACACTCTGGCCACTTAATCCCTGGTACCCATTTTCAGTCTGCAGAGTCCTTTTCTGGCAAAAATCATTCTTTATTTTCACTCCATCACTAGACAGAGGATCCCAGGTTCAGTCTCCCAGTTGACCATGTTACATGCGCATGAACATTACCAAAGCGAAACGAGGTTTTTTAAATTCTTACCAGAACATAGCAAACTATTTCATTCTGACACTGCTGCCAACCATTAATAACTAACCTTCTGGTTTATCTCTGATGCTGTGTCTTGTCTTCAAGCGTCGAACGGCACTGATCATGTTTATCATAAGCTGGACTTCATTTTCCAAGTTAACGTCTCTCCAGACCTCCCACTGCAAAACACAAGCAAGTTACATGAGTAAGATTTGAGGCTTTCACAGCAGTGACTATGAAGAAAGCAGTCTTCTGGACCACATATACACGGTGCCAAATCCCAGAAGACTGCTTTCTTCAAGTTACATGAGGCATGATGTCCTTGCTGGCTTCATCAGACAAAGACCTTCTTGAGAAGCTAAAAGTTGTTCAACTAGTGAAGAAATTTCTAACTTAATGTTGGCTCTGAATCTCAGGTGGGGTCAATGTCTGTCTGTCTTAAACTTTTGAACCAGCTGTGTCTTTTTTTATCAGCTTAATGTGAATATTAAGCCATGGAATGCTATCGCAGCATGATGATTTCAAATTCCTGCAACCAGTAATAACAATACAGTGGATGTGCAAACTTATCTCAAACAAATCTCAAACGGTTTACGACTTCTGGTCAGAACTCCCATATTGTCTCTCTGAAACATCTCTGGGGGTATATCATGCACTGTACAAACAACCTCATGGAAGAAAAGTCTTATGCATTCAATGAGATCCCAGGTACAGCAATTTTGGTTCCCATCATCTGACGAGAACAGATTCTAGTGACTTTCTAATGACGACGTAACAACCTAAATCACTATCTGATGATGACTCACAGTCGCAGAAGTTCTAGAAAGACATTCACATGCAGACATGCATTCGAAGTGCCCTCAATAGACCAGCTGCCAGCGGACTGTACCTGTTGGGATGTCGGATATGGCGCCACGATGATACTCTCGCTGCAGTGGTGGCCCTCGAGGTGGGGCAGGTGTTGGTACAGCTCCTCCGTTACGAACGGCATGAAAGGACTTAGGGCATGAATAGCCGTATCTAAGCAACCGAGCAATGTCCTGCATGCCATCACAGCTGCCTGCACGTCTGGCCCTTTCACCACTGGCTTTGTGGTCTCCTGTAACAAGAACGGCACGGTGTACTTGATGGCCATAAGACCCCCCACCCTTAATGGCATTATTCACCATTTTCCCAAGATTCTCCGAACCATATTCTTCTTCTTCTTGCATTGTTACTTTTAAACATCTCCATCAACAAAAATACTGATCTCTTCCTTCTTCCTGCAATATTTCCTTTCTGATTCCTTGCCAGCTCTCTCTCTCTTGTTGATGTCTTGCAGTACCTGGCTATACAGTCTTATTTTAGGTCATACCATTAGTCTCTTTCCTTTAAATTTGAATCTGAATCCCCTTCTCTGTATCCTTGCTCTGTCCATTCCTCTTACACGTCCAAATCACTTTAATTATATCTCTTCTATGTCAACATATACTGAACTCCATTTTCTCTAGAGACTTCATTTCTAATCCCATTACTTCTTGCTTTTCCTCAAACACTTCATGCATGGAGGCATATAGAGGTTCACTAAGCCTTATTTGATAACACTGTCAGCACCTCTATCTATACAACGAATTGGAAGGGATGTGGAAGGAAGTGCTCATGACCTAATTCGGGCACTATCCTGGCGTTTGCCAAGGGGGAATGGGCTACAAGCTATTTGGGGGGGGGGGTGTCTGGTATTCTTCACATTCCTGGAAGCTTTATCTTTGTTAGAGATGAGGAGTTGAATTCATTAGAAGAAAACCTACGCACACACTTGACCAGACATTCAACTCAAAACCCTCCAAATGACAATTCAGTGCCGTAACCCAAATAAAACCACATCCCAGTAAATATCTGTGCCTCTACACAGCTGACACAAAATTGAATGGCACCTCTGCGTCAGATCTACAGTGCCTGGCGACACTGGTCAACATCCCACCATCAACTTCACATTTTCTCGCCAACAAACAGTGGGAGAAATGAAAAAGCAGTCATTTCTGCTTATGCTTCTCTGGCACCACTAATGGCCATGTCTCAATTCCCCATATATTTACTTACGAGGTAGATATCACAGAATTCGCTATACAGAAACGTCTTCAGGGCTGACGTAGCAAAGTGAAAATCTGATGTGCCCAGCGCCTTGTTGACCTCCGACACCATGTGAGCTAAGCGACTCAGAATCCATCTGTCCAATTTACTAAGGTCTCCTCGGGAAGTGTCCAAGTCACAGCACAAAGCAGCAGGAAATCTCTCGAGATGCATTCTGGTGTATTTGCTGGCTTGCCATATCTTGTTGCAGAACAGTTTGTTTGCATGGCACTGCTGTACATCGAAAGTGATGAAGTGACCTGAAAAGATAAATGTTAAGATAATAAGTTAGAAAACGTACACAAAGCATAATGATTCTGGTGTGTTTGCTCTGTTGCTGTTTCGAGATATTCGATTTGTGAATGCGAACTTTTTACACTCTCCTACAATCAGCACAGAACAGATAAGTTTGAGCAGCATAAAGCTCAGTCCGATAGCGCCATCTCATTTGCCAATATCAAAACTGGATAATTCAGGGATGTTTGTACGATAAAAGTTAAATGAAAGAAAAAATTTGACAAATATATGAAAAGAATTCTATTCAATTTATGTTCTCCCCTTTGAACATTTTACCTACTTTTAATGTTTGCTGAGCAGAGAGTGAATCTAAGGGCATCTGCTCCACATTCCGCAATTCCTTTTGGGAACATCTTCATCTGACCGTCTAGCGTCTTCTCCAGTTCCGATGCAGACAGCAACCCAGACTCAAAATGTTTGTGTGCTTGAAGGTTCAGGTCCTGGAGAAAGAGATCTGAACCTGTTAACCTGAACAGTGCTGCAGTTAACCCTCAGCCAAGCTCACCCAAAGAACTACCTGCTGAAATGCCAAAGTTGCCTGGGGATACATGACCAAGTTTCACATCCATGTAAAACATTGTTAACAAACTATTTACTAGACATGAATAAGAATGAATTATCAGTTCAAAGCAAGAATTTGCAAATATTTTACGATCTGAGCTGACAATTTTTTCTACTAGACCAATCTTGTTCTCTGTGATCACAGTTTGTATCATTAGTGACCTTTTCAGAATGTACCCATGGTACTACTTTTTCAACTAAAACCTCTCATAAATCTCTGTATTAAAAACCATATATTCTACAGCAATGTTTCACCATGGGCAGAAAGAAAAGGGAGGGGGAGACATTTTGTTGATTGGTTAGTTCATGGTACAGCTGACAGTCATTATCACTCTGATAGATCAGTCTGCATGCAAATGCGCAAAGTAAAAGCACTTATCTGAAAACCCGCAAAGTTCAAGAATGAAAAATCAACGTTTGAACCGAGGTTTTTTTCTTTTCATAATTTGATACTTCCACACGTCTGCCATTTACTGTTCCCCATTTGAATTACCAGCTGTAACCGTACCTCCAGTGAGATGCCTGAAATAATATCTTCAGGAAATACAACATTTCCTAGGCTCTTTGACATTTTCCTTCCTTGAGAGTCACAGATAATTCCATGCAGCAAAATATTCTGCAAGAGAAAATCAACTGATCAGATCCTATCACACAGTGACTCCAGACACACTCTCCGACACAGCAACAGACACCCAGCACGTGAACATTAACACTGACAAATTTATTCTGTAAAACCACTGTTTCTATGAGTGAACACTTACAACTCAATGTCAATGTCAGCAGTGTACGCTGCTGTTGCTAAGCGAGCACAAGATGGGTTCCAAAGCTGATGGATCAAATATAAATTACACTTTTATATAAGCCAGAAACTGAACAGGTTAGGCCCAAGACTTGTGTTCAGCAGCTGATCAACTTGAATCTCAACCTCAGCACTGGCCATCCTGACTAACTTGTCTTTTGTTGGTGGTTCTCCTCAGTCCCTCCAGGCAAATTTTGGCTATCACTGCATCTTTCCAAAACCTTTCAAATGCATCACCCCACTTTTTGACTCCACACAGTCTAGTCACAGACAGCATCGTAAAATAGAAAAGTTAAAAATGTGACTTTAGCCACCTGACAAATATGACACAGTGAGTTTTTCTTAAAAATAAAGATACAAATTTCTGATGTCATTTTCTACACATTGCATACCTTAAATGGCAGCTGCCCTGTGAGTTGAGCTCCGAGCATCACCATGCGGGCCACCCAGAAGAACAGTATGTCATGCCCAGTCTCCATGAGCGTCAGGGGGTAATACTTGTCAGTCTGCAAAGTCAATACTGACCTCAACTAAGAGTAACATTGCAGCCACTACATCACAGACACAAAAGGCAAAGCTACTGCCACGGAATCCCACCGGGGTTGTGAGACAGATTCATTCATTCATTCATTCATTCATTCATTTCCATTATTTTCCATATATCCATACAGGTAACAAACCTAGGATGTGGAAATGGTTCCTTTGAAAATAGATATATCAAGATACATATACAAAATTACATGAGTCGCATAATCAAAATCACTTACATTAATTAACATAAATAATAATATAAAGTGAAAAATGTAATAAGATTTTAATTAATAAACATAAAACTTGAATTAATACAATTTTATTTAAATTAGCTATATTAACTGAATTAAATACATTACAAATTTACACACTTATGACCAATTATGTTGATAATATTCATTCACGGAATAAAAATAATGATCATATAAAAACTTTTCTCACCAGTAGCCAACATTTTTACTGTTTGAGGAAGATGATTAAGAACTTGAATACCTGCTATGTATGTACCTTTATTGTATTTTGGTAGGTTAACTGCAGGTAAATATAAATTATTGAGGGCTGTAGTTTTATATTTGTGAATCTCATTGTTAAAATTAAATAAATATTTCTTATTAATTGTGTATGAAGGTAATGACTATATGTACTGAGAGCAGCCCCTCATTATTTGCATTACTGTCGAGGCTCCCACATTTTCTAGACAACAGGCTCACAGTTGGCAGTAAGGTTGTCAGCCTCACACGCCAGCCAGCCCTTTACCCACAGGAAAATTTCTGGTACTCATTTCTGTTAGAGGCTGAGTTGTCACCAGGGCCATAGTGCGGCTGGAAGGATTACGTCAATTGAAAAATCCAGTGACCTCATCAGGAATCGAAGCCATGACCTTCTGGCTTGTAGCATAGTGTCTCAAGCAGCTACAGCAGCTCGTGCCGCAATTATACACAAACACAGTTGAAATAAATGGCTTTGACACTGCAGATGGAATCAGCAAGTTCCTTGGAAACATATACTCCAGCCATTACACTCCATTTTAGTGACATGCCCATAATATGTTCAACATTGAAGTCCAGCTGTCAGGAGAAAACCATTTGCTCATACAAGAAACAGACAGCTGTGTTTGACGATATACAGAAATCATCAAAACTGTCACCAGGAATTATGACAATAATAAAACTACAGCTGTTTCACACCTTTTCTGGCCAGCCCAAAGCCGAAAATGGGAAGAGGGCTGAGGAGAACCAGGTGTCAAGAACATCAACATCTTGGCGTACACTCAAGATGTCAGACTCGAGCACATTCAGCCTTCTGGCAGCTTTGTGTCTCGCCTCATCAACACTTCGAGCTGCGACCCAGATACTCGACTGGAGGTTCATGATGCTCGAACATTCGTATGCTGGAATCTGGTGCCCCCACCACAGCTGACGAGACACACACCAGTCTCTGCAAATGTGAGCTACAACTAAATATCAGAGTAACACGTTTTTAAATCATGTGCTTCACGGCTATCACAGTAACAGGATTCTTGTTTACGTTCTTACGGTATCATTCCTACTTTACATAGGTCGACGGACAAAAGTCTCCAGTCTCTTCCTTCCTCGCTCTCTTCCAATTCATTTCCTTTTCAGACTTTATCTCATACAAACAGAAAACTTAAGTACATATTCATATTCTGTCACCAGAATGTGGCACTACACCATAATACAACAGCAGCTAAACAATTCTTCAAAATACAAGACTAGGATTTTCAAAGAGGAGAAGATTTATACTGAAATTTTGTAAGTTATGACCAGGCCCCAGATTTTGACGACCTGAATATATTTAAAAAAATGACCAAAAAAATCCAGAAAAATTACATAAAATATGACCCAAAAATGTAGTATGCAGGGCCCAGATTTTCATGACGTGAAAATATTTAAAAAATGACCTAAAGGAGAAAAGAAAAAGCACTTCACTTCCATGTTATTCACATTTCAGAAAACATATGAAGAAAAATTGCCTAAAATGGCAAGAATTTTCACTTCTCCGTGGTTGTCCAGACTGGCTCTGAGGCTCACCCAGCCTCCTATCCAATGGGTACTGGGGGCTCTTTCTCTAGATGACAAAGCGGCCAGGGCATGAAAATAACCACAAACCTCCTATTAGTGGTGAGGTCAAGAAAATGTGGATGTATACATCCACTGCCCCATACACCTTCATGGCATAGTGCTTAATTACTTAAGCACAGGGACAATTTTACTTTACCTTTCTATGTTCTATATCAATTTACTTCTTCTGGATTTACAGTTTATTTGTTGCAGTACCTTGTTTCTTCCATACAGTTCTATATTGGCATGAGGCCTGGTTCAGGCAAAGGCTAATGAGATGACAATAAATTTAAAAATAAATAATGCCCTTTTCTCCACCTTTCCGCCACTACATACCATGGATATTTATGTTTAAAAACAAAATCCAGAGTCTAACTTTGTGGACATGTTACTGGAGGCAAATTCTGAGGTTAGGTTTCAATGTCTGCTTTTACAAAACTAACAATGGCACAGGGACAACTATAGCTTTACCAACAACAGCATAACTAACATGGCGGACAACTTGGTGGCATATTTTAAAGTTACTTGGGTTGTATGCAAGTATCAAAAAATGTGAAAAGAAGACAATGCCACGGGTGAGAACACAACATTACAATGGAACTCTGATGATGCACAGACTTACCTCACATCATGCAGCCAATCGTACCAAGTTTTCTCGAACTCGGGTGGGTCAATCTTTAATTCTCCTTCTTGCACTGCTCTGAGAGCCCGATATGCCATTTCATTCACGTTAACAAACCTGAAAAGCAAACCATTGCCTCAGCCACAGTTAAATAAACAGCATGTTTCTTACATATTATGGCATAAGACACAACTTTTAATGCAGTTCTATATTCTTTCCCCATGATTTATTTATAACGCTGTCAGCGTCTCGATTATAAAGCACTGATTCGTGGGATGACTGATAAATTGGAAAAGATTTGGAAGGAAGTGGCAGGTGACAGCCTAATTAAGGTATTGTCCTAGCGTGTGCCTCGATGGGCTGAGAAAAATTCAGTAAGGATAGTTTGTATCCCAACCAAGATTCGAACTGGGCACCTACTCACTGTAAGTCTGTAGTGTTAGTATTATTTCAGCCCACATTACAATATCTGTAACAGTGACCAAATCCTCCCCCCTTTACACGTCTAGTGACCTTGATGGATGGTAGCCCTATGGGCGAGTTTTGTTTCCTTACGGTTTGTGGTTCATCTAGACTCCCATCCAGTCTACCGCAGGCTCCTTCACCCTGGGTGAACTGGCCACAGTGTGAAGCTGACCACTCACCTCTTTCTAACACTTCAGGGCGAGAAAGCGTAGCGTGATACCTCCACAAAATGCCCAACAGTCATGCTGGGGTGCAGTGCCAATTCCTTAACTTTCACGATGAAGCGTATTCACAAAGTCAGACACTTACCACTGAGGTTTCACAAGCAGCTCGATGACATCCCCTGATCTGCTACAAAATGGAACCTTCATTGTGTGATTCTGCTTCCCTCTCAGCAGATCCAGTGCAGCCAACTGCTCCACTATGCATTTCCTTCCTTCAAACCGCTTCAAGTTCTGAAATATTGGTTCACTTTCTTCACTGGCCTCCTCTCATGACATAAACCCTTAAAAATCTTACACAATATTTGAGGCCTTCATGGTAGCAAGTATTGAGCCTGTGGACTTCTCGGTTGCGGCACAGCATACCCTTGTACGTGAATATAAACGCCAGAGAAAGACTTGTTGCCAACATCTTCAGGGTCAAAGTGCACTCCTCTGAAATACTGACGTCAATCTAATGGACTACACAGAATTACAAGATAATTATGAGAGTCATGCAAAGCCTGTGTAACATGTTGACATATGCACTGTGACGATGCAACAGATAAGACACCAATACTCACAGAAAACACACCACACTTCTCATTCAGTTCCCCTTTTTCATTGATAACGGAAACCATTTCCAGGTTATGCCTCTTCCCAACCTCAAAATCAACAGAGTCATGTGCCGGGGTTATCTTAACAGCTCCTGAAAGCAGACAAACAGTTCTTACCTATTTTTAGCTCATACTGTATCCAGTAATCACATATAGGAGATTTGCGGAGAGTCCGTTCAACAGAACGCTTCAGTCACATAACCATCGTCAGTAAAAATACTTTGTGTAGTCACCTGTTCCCAGATCTGGGTCAACAAAATCATCACAGATGACAGGGATTCTCTGTTCTCGGAAAGGGTGCCAGACATGTTCGCCAATCAGACTCTTGTACCTGGAATCTAGAGGGTGCACGGCAACTGCAGTGTCTCCCAGCATTGTCTCTGGTCGTGTGGTGGATACCACAATCTCTCCGTCTAGAACAGATTGTATGGTAAAACAGAAGAAGCAACAATACAATCAACTTTACGAAAGCGTTTTGGAAGGGTCTTCTGTTCCTCTCTTTCTAGCCCTCAATCCTTGCTACTGCAGCCCTTAAAAGGGACATTCTTATTCACCACTTGATGTTCCCTACACATCATTTCAGATTTGAGGTTCCCATGGCAGCGAATGGTGATGTGATGCTGTGTAGTCTGGTAGACAGGAGACAAGTTATGGGATAACCTGCTGGCTCTGTATAGTGTTACAATCACTTCCACGCTGACAACATGGGATGTGATGTCTTGTATTCCAGTAAAAGTAAACTGATTTTTGGAAGAATGTACTACCTCCATCTTCAAACCCTTATGGCTTCTACACAAGAAACAGGGGCAATGTGTGCCCTCCGGAAAGTTAGGAACCTTTTAAATATCAAGAGATCTGTGACATGGGTGTCCCTGGACAAGAGATCAATATTCTCAGAGGTCACAGTATCAGTCATTCTTAGCAAGAAAAGTGTATATGTACACGTGTCCTATTCTGAACGGTTTCCAAGATAATGCTGTTTCACTGTACACTGTACAGACAAGCAACACGCCATGTCCTCACACGAGTTGCACCGAGATAGAGCTGTTTCACTACACAATACACTGTACACTGTACAGACGAACAACACGCCATGTCCTCACACGAGTTGCACTGAGACAGAGCTATTTCAATACAGAATACACTGTACAGACGAGCAACACGCCATGTCCTCACATGAGGTGCAAAATGCACTGACGTTGCCGGTGGAATTTTCGAAAATGTATTATAGGAAAACTGTACCAACTTTGTCACTTGAACAACAGATACTGGTATTAGAAACAGTACGCAATATCTCTTTCTTACGAACAACTTTGGAACTGGAGGAGGAGGAGAATAAGAAGAAGAAAGTTGTAATATAGAACCAAACATCTCGTCCCATGTCCATAAATCCATCTGTTCTTTGAAATGTGGCAACACAGTTGGCTGCTTTGTTTCAATAATGCACAGCTCTCCTCAGTTCAAACCTACTCTTTGTGTGTACTCGTTTCTCTGTGATTAACATGCTTATTTACCCGCCCTCTTTACCAAAGATATGTCTCAGAGGCCAACAGGAACCTCAGTGGCTACTGAGAGGGGTAAAAGAAAAATTTGTTTGCTATTACAACTGTTGTGTTTCTGAACATTATGCATGGGCCTGCTTTTATCTAAAACGCAACATTCCGGAGACAAGAGCCACTCTCTGAAACGTGTTTTAAACATAAAACAGGACATGTTTTAAATAAATACAGGCTTGATGGATAACGTACAGAAACACAACAGCTGTATTAATATACCACTGTCATAAACTTTTAGATATTATTTTCTGCTGCAGTTCTGTGTGTCTGACGAGGAAGTGAGCATATAATGGTCTAGGCTCGCAAAATAAGAGGTTTTGTATCTGCAGTTTACTAGTGATGATGTCAAGAGCGGAGTTACCAAAGTTGTCTCCTTGTTTCACCACAGTAAAGCGATAATCCATACTCCGTAGGAATACAAAATTATCTGTCACTGTTTTGGTTGTGCTTATTAAAAAATGGCAAAGTAAATGAGTCAGTACCTCTGTCACAAAGCTTGTATGCAAAGTTGGTAAGCACCCCAAACTCCACTGGTTCCACGTAGCCAGGGACGTTGATCGCTGTGGCTCCTTTCACTTCCTTGAAGTTTACTTCTATATCAGAGATTGCTGACTGCAGGCAGCATGACCAGTTCACCAGAGAATTGGCTCTATATATGAGATCAGCATCAAACAGACGCACAAAGCCTTCTGTGACAGCTTCTGACTGCACCTGCACAAATTTAGGTTCCATTAATGTTGAATGATTACAGCTTTATATAATAATAATAAATTTTACACACACACACACACACACACAATGCTACAACACATTCTTTGAGACCACGGTCAAACAAAGACCACTCCCACTTTATGTTCTGGACATCCTGCAACGAAACCTCAGCCTCATGATCATCTATCCTGACAGAGGTTATCAGTGGTTTTCCTCAGTTCTCCCAAGCAAATGACAGGATAGTACCTAAAATGTTGGCCACGGCCAATCCATTCCAGATCCTTCCCAATTAATTACTCATTAATCTTCCCACGGTTTGACGCTGTACACCGTGAAACCCCTACCTGAGGTTTGTTTGGGGTCCAGTGTATCTGAACACCCAGCTGAGGTAAATCTTCATTGGATGAAATTCAATCCAGAGATTACTGACTTTGGATCATCTAAACTGAATGGTAAACATGTGAAAACACTGAACATTAAATAGAAGTTCCATGATATTAAAGGTAAGGTAAAGTTGTCCCTGTGCTTAACTAATTAAGCACTATACCATGAAGGTGTATGGGGGAGCAGGTGTATAGAACCACATTTTCTTGACCTTGGCACTAGCTGGAGGTGAGTGGTCAGCTTCAACCCCCTGCTGCTTTAACCTCAGGGAAAGAGCTCCCAGTACCCATTGGATAGGAGGTTGGGTGGACCCCAGAGCCGGTCTGGACGATGTGGAGAAGAGAAAATTCTTAACTCTATCAGGACTCAAACTCCGACCTCTTGGTCACCCAGCCCACAGCCAATCGCTATACTGAGCTATCCCAGCTCACAGTACCATGATATTATATGAAGAAATTGGGCACTGAACAATAAGACCAGAGGTACCTGGCTTAACACTTGACACGTGCATCAGCTGTCATGTCTTAGAAGCAAATGCCAAGAAAGTACCTTCAAACAGTCCACTACCACTTCCTTCCCTTTTACCATACATAAACCATCTTCTCTCAACTAATTCACATTTGTGCGTGATGCGAGAACTGATAAGCTGCTCCTGTGAATTGCACAGCACACCAGAGACCTCTGAACCCAAGGCAAGATCTACACATCTCTGGTATCATGAAACACATACAAAGGAAACTAAGGTGAGGTCTGAGGTTTTCACAGCAGTGAGGCAGACACTGGTGGTTTCAGGATATGACAGCGGACTCTCAGTCAGAGGGTTCTGAGTCTAATCCTCAGTTAGGTCTGTGCGCAGATCTCTATCCTCACAAATATAAGCTACAACTTTCACAATGTGTAGAATACAGGGCTCTGCATGGCTCAAAGCCCACGCTAAACTGTCTCTCCTGCCAATCATCACTCTCATGATCACCGTATCATTTGGGGGTAACAGAATCTACCCCACTGGAGCCCCATCCTCCAATATGGATTCTATGAACCTGCCCAGGTCAGCAGAAGCCCTTAACAAACAAACATACCGTGACACTGTGAAACCTGGTCGATGGTTATCAGTCTCAGAGAAACATACTGCCTTGCACGCAACCTACTCTCTTCTAACTTGACTCACTTCCACCCTGAAGATGACAGCAGTATATCCCTCCTTCTGGACTATAAAGGGAAGCCAGTACACTAAGGCACAGGCTTGACAACTGGAGAATCATAACTGGACTCCTGGCAGGGGCAAGAGTCTTCCTTCCCCACCCTCCCCCCCAGATAAAGTGGCTGGGATATAAAGCTGATCACTCACCTTTGTCTAGAGGACAACTCTTCCCTATATGCCTTCAGGGTGTAAGTGCTTAATAATGGGAAAACTTTCACTGAGCTACACAGTGTCACAACAAGAAAACTCCAACCCAATTGGGTTGCAATAAAGATGGATTCCCTTCAGTAGCAGAGAAATGGTCTACAAAGCAACAAGGAACTGAACAACGAAACATTAGTGATTACCCACTGGGTCCAACGTGAACATTTCCTTCGACCAATCCAGCGACAGTCCCAGCCTTCTAAGCTGTGCAGCAATCAGTTTCCCCTTCTCTTCCTTCCATCGCCAGACCTCCTCCATGAATCTGTCGCGGCCAATATCGTGTCTCGTCAGTTTCTGCTCCTGCCACAACTTCTTCTCGACCACAACCTGAGTGGCTATGCCAGCGTGGTCCATGCCAGGGACCCACACAACCGAATGGCCCAGCATTCTGTGCCTGAAGAGAACAAAATGATACCAAATATCGTCATGAACGGATCAACTGGGAACGTTATGTGAATAAACGTCATGCAGAATTCCTAGTCCGCCTTCATACCACACTCTTCTGGGTTACACCACTGCGTATCAGCTCACAAGGCAGGATTTCTTTCAGAAACTATCCTAAATGTGCCAAAACCCTGTTTGTGAGTCGAGTAATTCCAAAGTTGAAACAGTGAGCCTCATACTGCCGATGAGTGACTCACTGTTCCTTGTAGCCTCAAAACACTTCTCTCATCATGAGATGAGCTCATAGTTCATGTATCTCAAGCAAGTTCACTGTTCTGAAAGGAAAAACTCTAATTATTTCTTATAGGAAGGAGTTCTTACTCCAGTTGTGCGTACATACGTTCATAAGTCATGCATTCATTTGTTGAGAACCAAACGTATTATAATTATGGCCTTCTGGGGTGTGGCACCCTGTAATCTGCCAACATTTCAGAGGAACCCACTGCTTCCAACTTCAGGGTATACCAGAACAACATAATCTTAAATGTCCAAAAATGCATGATAAGGTATCTGTAATTACCATCGTGCCAGCACATCTTGTATCGTGCATGTTAAGGCATGACCAAGGTGTAAACTGCCTGTCACATTTGGAGGAGGAAGAACCATGCTATATGGTTTTGCTGTGGCTGCTGTATTCGGTAAGAAATAGCCCTGTTTCTCCCACCAATTGTACCAGCTACTCTCAACATCCTTTGGATTGTACACTGCTGAAAATCTTGAGCTTGCACCTGGAAAAAAAATACACACCACTTCGAATTTGTTACAGAAAATCACGCATTCGTTAAAATATGGTGAGCGCGCCTCTGATGGATATTACGTGGTTCAAGATATTTCCTTTTGTAATAAAACCTCTGGGGTGATGACTATTTGAACGTCCACCAATGTACTTGAGTAATTTCAATCCAGTACATACCTTCAATACTTATTTTAAAAAGTCCACTTAAATCCAAAAAGTGGCCTTATGCCAGTAGATTTTTCTAACCTAAATTAAGTATTTATGTTTTGCATTCGTTAATAAATAAATAAAAAACAGCAACTCCGAGAACACCGACGTTTCTTTCCCGTACCTTTAACAATCCGATTTGTGTCTGTAGTAGCACAACGATCACTACAATACCTTATTTGACACTCATGTGCTTTGTACACTGCTTTAAATAACAAATATTCTTTACACGTGTTAAAAATGCGGCATTTTGAAATTACATCTCGGCACCCCATTTTCCCTCCCACACGGTAGCGGCAACGGACGTCTGTGGGATGGTGGGATCGTCCGTGATATCCGTGATCTCCGTGATTGCATTTTCTTCATTTGATCATTTCGATGTTGGTAGTCCGTGGCGGTCCGTGGTAACATGGCAGGCGTGGAACTGACGAAGTGTGTTCGAGCTTGTAGAAACGCAGGTTTCTGTGCTTATAGAGCAAGAGAAGTTTATAGTTTAGGCAGAAATGATTTTACAAGTGTACGACTATTATCGAGTCGTAGAGCGACAAACATGTCTGATTCGAAAAAGAGCAGTACACTAATGTTTGGAGTCCTAGGTATTAGCATGGGTGCATTGGTTGGTGCCGGTTATTCATATTATAAGAAGACACAAACGCAACCTTCCGCCGTATTAAATAAAAATGTGGGCGTAACAAATGCTGTACTGGAAACTCCACCAGATATTCAGATTTCTAAAGAGGCGAGCATTCCATGCTTGATCTGTTACTCATATTTTTGCGCGTGTTTTCAGCAGTAAACACGTAAACTTGTTTTACGTCACTTTACCATTCATAGCATTATGCAGTAACAGCATATTTAGTAACATATATTTTCGTGTTTATTTTCAGATTGTTGCACCTTCTGACAATACTGGATTGAAGCTGACATTGTTCCAGTATGCCACTTGTCCATTCTGTTGCAAGGTTCGAGCGGTTCTCGATTATTATGGTTTTTCTTACAATATAGTCGAAGTGAACCCAGTTCTAAGGCAACAGATTAAGTGGACTGAATACAAGAAGGTTCCAATAGTTCTTGCAAACGTTGACGGTGTTTATCAAGTAAGTAACTGACAGTTTAAATTATTCCATATAACGAGGATCATGTATGAAATCTTGTAGACATGAAGGTGTAAATGCCTGTGACTGTATGTTAGGCCATGTAATACAGGGATATGTTCACAATTAAGTATACAAGTCGCATATTAAATGATACCCAATTCATTTTATTCATATTTACTATTTAAGAGTCTATATGTCACAAGTCAGGGCCTTATATATCAATTCTAACTCTAAAAAGGGAAGCGAGTTCTTAAGATGAGCCCCAATAAACAAAATTTTGATTTCCTCAAACATAGGTCTGATGATTTTGATTAAATCTGAATAATTTATGGAGATGATCCCCCTAAAAAAAATGCATATGTAAGGAAATACGCCCAATATCTGCACCAATTTTTTTATATAAAACTACTTTTTGGAAATGGGTTCTCGACCAGGGTACAAGAGCACCAAGGGAACCAACAGACTGGAAACCTGTTCAAGTCTTCTCTGTCAGGAGACAGAAATGGAACCGATTTCCAAAACATAGAAGTTTTATTTAGAAGAACATGAACAAAGTGCATTTCAATAACCTGAACTGTTAAGCATGTAAATGCTTGTTCATTTATAGACGTTTATCATATAAAAAAGAACAGAAATGTTATTCTGTTACAGTAAAGAATTGCAAAATAATACAGCGGGTGACTGGAAGTCCAAGGCTTTATGAATTTCTTCAGAAAATGCATTAAATACACTTTCTTCCTTTCAGCAAATGAATGACAGTTCCATGATCATCTCTGCCTTAGCATCGTATCTCCATGATAGAGGTCAAGGGCTGACTGATATTGTGAAGTGTTATCCCACCGTATCGTTCACTGACGATGATGGAAAGTTAAAAAATGAGATTTTGAACCGTTATTTTCTAATGTACCAAGGAAATATTCCGCAAGGGAAAACAAAGGAAGCAATATTGTAAGTTTTTGTGACAAGATGAATGTAAAGTTGTCCCTGTACTTAATTAAAAAAGCACTATGCCATGAAGGAGTATAGGGAAGTGGATGTATAGATCCACATTTTCTTGACCTTGGCTCTTCCCCCCCAGGGAAAGAGCCCGTGGTTCCCATTGGTTAGGAGGTTCGATGGACCCCAGAGCTGATCTGGATGTGGAAAAGAGAAAATTCTTGAACCCACTGGGACTCGAATTCCGACCCCTCAGTCATCCAGCCAGTAGCTAGTCGCTATACTGACTGCGCTTTCCTGGCTCGACAATATTAAGATAAATAAAAAAAAAATATGATAGTATATATACTGCAGCTATATAATATTGGGCATGAAACCTAGTATTTTGAGTAAACAAGTAACAACGCAGCAGGCCACGAATAAACACGGAAATACTAAGAATCTCCTTTCGCAAGATAGACGGGCGGCACAGGATCAGCCACCTCCAAGAATAACAATAGGAGAATTGACATGAACCTGTATGGTTTATAAATTTTAAGCTTGAACTAGAAAGTTTTTAAAAAAGTTTAAAAAAAAATCTTTAAAAAGTTTTAAGACCAGGAAGGCTGCTGTGAATGTGAAAGGTTGAACACTGTACATTTTGCATTTCAGACATTATATATGTATATAATTAACATTTATTGTAATAGTAGTTTCCGAAAAAAGTATTGATGCCCTCTGAGGATGATCCATAGGGATCGAAACACGTAAGGGTGATGAGTCTTTAAATGATAAAACTTAAATAGTCACATTAGACGGTGTTATTTTTGTGTTTGAAATCCTGTACCCCTGAAAGAAGAGTACATTGCTATTTAAACTGCTTGTATGTTCAATCTAACCTTATGATCCTGTCTTGCTTGCAGGGAAGAACGTAAATGGCGAAAGTGGGTAGATGATGTGCTGGTTCATATGCTGTCTCCTAACGTGTATCGAACAAGAGAAGAGGCACTACAGGCCTTCACTTGGTTTTCACAAGTAAGGAAATTCAGTTTTGCAAAATACCAAATGTCAGGGTCAGACGGTTGACACTGAAGCTCAGCATTTGGCAGGTCTTGTTCTGGACTCGGATTTGAGGTTTCCAAAGCAGTGACTGTGAAAGTACTGTCCTCTGAGACGCGACACCATGTAGATTGCTAAATATACAGCTTCCATCTTCAGGTCTGAAGAGTGAGCCAAGTGAGCTTTAGGAAGCTAACAGCAATCTGATTGCTGGTGGTTTGTGTGACGTACTCATCAGTCATAAACATGGAGGCAGTGTCTTACTCCAAAACGTGTGAACTTTACCAGTTCATGTAATATCACACCTCAAAAGGCAGTACTCCTCAGATGTTCACTTGTATTTGTTGTAGGTCGGAGAATGGGAGAAACATTTTTCGACTTGGGAGAGGTATCTCGTCATCTATGTTGGAGCTTACGCCATGTGGATCATTGGGAAGCGACTAAAGAAAAGGTGAGTGACAGGTTGCGATTGTCATATGAAAATAGTTTCAGTAAAACTTGTCTTTACAAGTCATATTTCAGGTACTATGGACATGCAGTAAGTTTAAGATTCCTGAGTTTCTTTGCTGCTGGAGGTCAGTGCTGGATTCAGCTTCTGGGACTAGCCCAAGTTGAACATTGAAGGTTTTATCTTTCAGCAAACGTTGCAGATGCCATCTTGATGCAATCACAACTTCACCTCTGATACATTGCCTGTGTGATAGCTGCGGAAACATTGGAAAACCCTCAACATTCAACACAGCCTAGTCTCAAGGGCCAGAGTCACACAGTCCAAGCCAAGTGTGGAATACATTTATAATGAAAACATAATTTCATTCATTACCTGCCATAACAAGGGTGCCACAGAATGCCCCCTGAACAAAATTTCATGACAATATTAGTGGCTACAGAGAGGGATGAACTGACAACAAAATCAAGAAAATTATGTGGTGGAAAAGTTTCATCTTTGTACCATATTCACTTGTAACATCTCAGGATGTACCCAGTTTGATTCTTGCGCAGGAAACAGCATGTTACAATAGAGATTTTTCATGCTTCTCTGTTTTTCCTCCAGGCACAAATGCCAGGCACCTCAGATTAGCATACAAGCACACCCTTTACAATTCATTATTCACTGATTATTCTACCACTTGACACTCTGTAACCTGGGTTACTGAAAGAGTCATTAAATAAAAATATATTATACAATTATTGCAGGTGCTACATCAAGAAAGTTAAAACAAACCAGACGTAGCAGGAATGGAAAGAAGCCACTTAGAAAATATTCAAAATGGGAATATAATATTGATATGGACTTTAATATGAACTGGATTCTACAAGTTCAGATGGTCAGCAGTATCTAATTATTAACCGATGATCCTGGTAGCTTCAAAATTTACTGCCATATTGTCTGCCACATTACCGCCACCAACCGTAGAAGTTTGTTTGTAAAATACGAAACCTGAAGCCTAATCTTTTCAAAATAGAAACAAAGGGCTAACCTTTTAAAAATAAAAACCTAAACCTTGTGGACTTGATGTTGGAGGCAAATTCTTAGGTTAGGTTTTGGGGGTCTTGTTTTTAGAGATAAATTCTAAGGTTGGCTGTGCTGATGTGGGAGACAATATGGCAGCAAATTTTAAAGGTACTTGGGTCACCAGTTAATACATAAGTACCCGGTCAACTTTTACAGTGACAAAAAACCTTTTAGGCAGCATCTACATGAGCGCACAAAATGTGTCTGTTGTAATGAACATACTTTGTTGAGGACACCATACAGTTGCAGAATGCGGTGTGTAGTTTTTATCTGCAATGGATCGAGAAGAAAGCGTAGCATTCACCTCTCTTGTTTATTCCTACAATGGACGCACAATGTTCATTACAACGGATGCATTTTGTGCCCTCGTGTAGACACTGCTTTAATGCTGTGACAACACAAAATTTATTAAATATCTGAATATTATCAATTCCTGAGGAAGAAGTGTCTTTCTGATGAGTCTGAAGGACGTTGTTCTACTTTGCAACCTGGGAGAAGGTTTTTATATACAATTAACCCTTTCACACCCTACGATCATCTATTGGTTCTTTGCCCAGACTGTCAAATCCAGTGGAGGCCGGATAGTAACATATCATCACAAGACAAAAAATGTCTCTTCCAGAACACACTTTGAACGCATAGTTCTTTTTCCGGTGTCACTAGGTGGAACATGTAGCTATCCCTTCCAATTTCTTTGACATATATACAATGAAACTGATACTTAAGATTTCTTTTTGGGCTGGTGGATTTGAACACTAAACTGATAAAAACCATAACAAACAAAACAAACTCCATGGCTTTAGTCTGCAAGTGCACTATACCAACCAAGCGACCGCCACTTCTCAGCGAAGTTAGTGCCAACTTTAATGGATAGAGGTTGTCATGTGGTCAGCACAGTGAATCCCCATGGCCATTAATTTCGGTTTTCTAGACCAGAACTGCTATATTTTCATTCAAGTAGCTCCTCAGTTATCCTCACAAAGGTGAGTGGACCCCATTCCAGACCCACTACTTCTCAGAAAATCTGGTAGTGCCGGGAATCGAAACTGGGACCTCTGGATCTGTAGCCAGGAACTGTAGTCACAGAGGTGGTCGATAAAAACTGTAAGTGGTGGAAATTTGACGCTTAGGTTATTGACCTGGGATCATTGAAATTGAGCGTTAAGTGAAGGTAAACTTTAAATCAAGAAACATTAAAAGGTGGTTCCGTTGTAGATTGTCTGTTATGCGATTTTTATCACAAACAGTCTCCAACAAAAAATGTCTGGACTAGACGGGAAGCCTGGAGCAGCAGAGTTGCTTGGAGTGAAAATGTAAATGAAGACACAGTTCTTACCACTGTGTTGCTTTACTTTACAGGCACAACCTGAAGGACGATGTCCGTGTTTCCCTGTATGACGCTTGCAATCACTGGATGAAGTCCGTGAAGATGCAGGGGACCAAGTTCATGGGCGGAGAGTCCCCCAACCTCTCAGACTTGGCTGTGTACGGTGTCCTGAACAGTATTGAGGGTTGCAATGCGTTCCAGGATGCACTGGAACACACATCCATAGGAACGTGGTACTACAGTGTGAAACAGAGCGTTCAGAGTCACAGTGGGTGCAGCGCCATGAACGGCTGAAGCTACATCCCACAGCACAGTAGATAATGTTCTTGTTAAAAATTTGTGAAGACTCAAGTTCCATTGTATCATGGTCAGAAACTGACAGTTGACATTCATGGTAACCCACAGGCATGTGTGAGAACGGCTTTTTGCTTCAAAATGAAAATCTGTAAGAATTGGGATGAGAACAAGAATTTTCTCTGCTAGACCAATTTCTTTTGTACGCTTTTTAACATTGCATTAGTGTTCTACCCATCCTTTTTGATATCAGATGCTTTTCCAGTGAAACTTTTTTTTCAAAATTTGTTATGTTTAAAAAATAAGTTCTTGTGCCATGTAATTTTTTGTCATGGGCAAGAAGAGGGAAGAAGATTTTTCTGACAAGTTAATTCATGTAAGTGTTGCCAACCATAATGATTATGATGCATCAGGTAATTTGCGTTCTACTTTGCAAAGCAAAAGTAGTTTTCAAACCAAGATTAGAATTCTTTTCTCAGTTGGATCTCTTAATAGTTTGAGACTCACACTTGCCTAGTGGTTGACATGCTGTTTTGCAGTTTGATTTTAATAAAGGGCTAAACTGTGCTAAAAGTTAATTGCAGCTGACAGGAAAGTATATCATTGACTCCAGTCCTGAACCAGTTTGATGCAATCGACATTACTTCGTTCTGTAATACTGATGGCTGCTTTCGAACAGGTTTGTTTCCTAACTAATATAGTTTGCATTTTTTGTTTCTCAGGTTCCATATTTCTAATGATCACTGATTTAACTGCAGTAATTGTACTTGAAGTATGATATCAGAATGGAGAAAATTACATAAGAAGGAACTATAACTTTCAGTATTCAGCTAAAAGAACAGAGTGATTAAATGAGAATGAGTGTGTGTAAAGCATGAACAGAAATTTGTATAAAAAGATCGGGAAACATAGGAAGAGACCAGTTACGATATCTAGGCATAAATTGGAGGACAATACTAATCCTTATCATCTAGGAACAGAAAATTTTGAATTTTAAGGGGCTTGCAGGCAGTTATTAAGTTAGAGGTGACAGATTGTTGTGTGGGAATAGGGGATTTCTAATCCCCTGGTATTATGGGGCTGCTGGCCATATTTAACCTTGGGGTAATGGTGTTATTAGTATTGGAAAAAATTAAATTCTTGGTTAGCTGGACGACGTGCGCTGTTCCAGTAATGCAATGCAACCTGGTGAGACTGAAATGTATCTTAAAAGAAAAATATAATTTATCTGGCTCTGAACAGGGCTCATTAGCAGCTTTTATACTTAGAATAACGAGCCTTCAGTTTTCCAAAACTGGCCTCTTGCCAACCAAGAACTATGTGAGATCTGACATTCTCACTTTCTCTTGTGGGTTATTTTACGGTACTGTCAACTTCAAATGTGGGGTGATTCATAAATGATGAACTTTGGAAGGAAGCAGTAATGACCTGAGGAAGTGAGAAGAACCATGAGAAATGTCAGTCAAGATAGCAGGTGTCCTAGTTGAGAATCGAACTGATTACCTCTCGAATACGAGTCTAAGAGTATCGCTGGTATCCTGTCCCGCTCCGTCAGGTTCTCATATCTGTGACTATAGTGATCACTGTCTCCTGAGATGTGGCACAAAGTAGTCTAGTAGATTTTTACCATTGTTTCAGAGGAATATGCTGCCTCCATCTTCAGGGTAGAAGAGGTATCCTGTATAGGGATATTACTCTGTGCAATGTATGTAGATGCAGAAGCCTTCAAACCATGAAAGCAGGGCCACTGCTTGTGTTCCTGTCGTTCCCACTGAAGCACAGTTCCTTGGTTCACTCTTCTGCCCACAAGACAGAGCAGCACATTCCCGTGTAACATCAGTAAACACCTTCCGGAGTCCATGTATCACATCTCACAAGACAGCACTGCTCATCCAAAAGCATGAGCACATGAAGGGCTTCCTAAGAATGAGAGACCGATGATGATGCATTTACTTTTCACATTGCTTGTAATTCCGCCACAAGCTTTGCCGCTAACATAATCCTCACTTGTAGTCTCTCCATTGGAAGCATGTGCAAAGTGTTTAATCCCATCTATTTAATACAAATACTATGTTTCTGGACATTATCCATCAATGCAATGTTTCAGAAACTGGATTCTGGATTCCCGGAGATGGGGACTAATTCTGGACCCAACTGAGTAGGTCGCCAGAACGTGTTTTTAAATAAAAACAGGATCACACATAATGTCCAGAAACATAATATTTCTATTAATGTACCACCGTCACAAACGTTTACGCCTTATGTGCTGTCCATTTGAGTTTTAAGTAGACATTTCATATTTATTTCTAAAGCTCAGTTAAGTAGTTGCTAATCCTTACTGGGCTTGCACTGCAGCAGCACATGTGACAGTGCAGCTGGCTGAGTATTGCATTATTTCGTTATGAATACCAATAACCCTCAAGCTAAAATATTGTTACCAACCACGTATTACTCGAGAGATATAAAGTCCTTTACTGCTGATGATATTATGTGATTAATGGGTGTAGAAATAGTGGAGAGTTATGTTTACAAGTTTTGTATAGTAAATTATTAAATTAATGTACAGAATTTACTGTAGCAAAAAAAATAAAGAGAAAATATTAAAACTTTTAACCTGCGTTTCTTCATTTCTTTTACATCTGTGTTTTTGGCCAGCTGACTGACTTTCATTAAATGTGGTACCAGCATCATGCCACCAGGGATTGTCCCTTGTTCTTATATAATTCACAGACATTGGGAAGCATGTCAGACATCATGACTAAGTGCACAGTCCTCCTGCTTTTTATCTGGAAGGTCCCAGTTCAAACCTTGGACTGGAGACCTGCTGCCCTGACTAAGGTTTTCGTGGTTTTACTCTGCCCCCCATGTAAAAACTGGGACAATATATGAAATTAAACCATAGCCACTCCCTTCCCTATCCTTTCCAATTCATTATTCGTTGATCAGTCTGCCACTATATGCCATATATTCGAGCTATGATACCCTTGTTAAATCGACAATAAATAAGGAAGAATAGTGAAAGTTTTTGTCATATACAGGAAATTCAGCACTGCATGTAGGGAAACCTGGTGCTGTCAGGTTTACTCTGTAACTCACAGAATTTCTCTCTTTATGAGTTTTCTTACCAGAAGATTTTAAAGTTTTTTTTTTTTTTTTNGGAACATTTGAAATTTTCTCCCTGTATTAGTTGCAGGCAGGTGCACTGTAATTAATGTCAATTCATTATTTATCAGCACAAAGCCCCTAAAAATTTGAATGAAAGATTGTTAAAAACAAACTTAATTAAAAAAAATACCTAACGTCGACAATTGGGAGATTTCCGGAAATATAATCAACATTTATACTAATAAACTAAGCTTGGTAAGATAACAGTATGCACGGCTGTTGTCTAGAGTAACATCTTTTTGAGAAAGTTGAAGACCGCAATACTAACTCTAGAACATCTTCCATTGCTGCCATGTTCTGATTCCCTTTGTAACTACTCTCAACTCTGACTGTGATATTCTTGATGACAGAATCGCAAGCACGGACCTTCTGTAAGTAAGGATAGTTTTGAATGTGTTCACCTCCAGGAACTGTAGTTCACATGCAGGGTATCTGCTGATAAGTGAGACAGAACCCTCTGTTGCCAGCATCCCCGTTAGTCAGTTCAGCGTCGTCTGTTACCACAGTCAAAACAAACGGCTTGGAGGAGGCTGCAAAATAAATAAATGCCCATTACAGCGCCGTAATTTACTGTACGTACCGCCTGCTTTAACCCTAAGAACTCTGCATTCTGCCCACACAGTGTGTTTATGTGTTCTGCATGATTCTTACAATAAACAGTGACTGTTGCCCTAAACAGCATTAACCGGTTGGGCGTTGTAGCGGAGACAGAGTGTGTTACCTGTGAGGTAAGGACTGATATATTATGTATTATTCAGATGAATGCCAGGCTTCAAATGGTTAATACACAAGCACAAAATCAGTCTTAGTTAAAACCACGTTCTTCTGTGAGAAGGTTAGATACTTTTGCTCATTATATGGGAAGGGCTATAAAAAGAAATCCATGAGCCATGTGTGGCCCTTAATGAAGTAAGACTGGGTAGAGAAATATTTTAATTCTTATTAAGACAGTGTCTTACAGGGATATCATACTGAAGGGTGAGCACACAGGGAATTTTATCAGAGATCTGTCACACCATAGCTCAGGTTAGTCACTGGCTCCTCACTGTGGAGGACTGAGTTCAATCCCTGGGTAGTTCATGTGGGATTTGTAGTGGACATCTACATTGGGGCAGATTTTTCTCTAAGCACATAAGTTTTCCCCTGCCAGTTATCACGCCACAACTGCATCATCAGAGATTGTTACAGTAGGTCCATTTGAGGCCGCAGTACCAAGGAACTCATGCCCTTTATATAAGTACTTCAGTAATGTTTGTAATGTACTGTAATGTGTATAGATAGGCAACGGCATGATAAACATCTCACATAAGTGCACTCAACTATAGGGCAAATGTTTATAGCTCATTGCTAGGCAAGAGTCAGCGCATCAATTGGCTGGTGAGTACATAATACTTACTTGTGGTTGGTACCAATGCATTGCCACAAAACCTGTCAGTGTTTAGGCTCATTGAATTCTGGGAAGGATTTGGTATTACAATAAAATCGGTGGTACACACAGCGCCACTCTCAGCTACTGCAGCAGTTCCTGTAAGAAAAGCACAGAGTTTAAGGACACTCCAGTTTACATGTGATTGATGCTGCACATTCTGAGGTAAACCAGATCTGAGGTTCTCACAGTGATGGCCATAAGAGAGTGCTGTCTCCTGAGATGTGACACCTTGAAATCTGGCAGAAGTGCATCGACATTTCAGAGGAGTGCACTGCCTACACCATCAGCACATGTTCTGCTTGGTGTCTACTGGTATCTTGCTTGGCTTACTCTGTGACCCTGAAGATGCAGGTGGTGTGTCCCTCCAAAATATCAGATGACTTCCCCTGGACTACGTGGTATGATGTACCAGGTGATAGAACTTCTCTCTTTTAAAGCAGTTCAGAACAAGACAAGGTTCCCAAAACAATGCTGGTCAGTGACCTCTAGAATTTTATTTAAACTGATGGACACTCACAAGGGGAAACAAGGTCAAGATCCAAGCAATGGGTATTAAATTTCTGTGAAGTACTGACCATAAAACAGATTGGGACAGAGTTAGAAAAGAAACTTTCAGAGACATTAGAATTTAAAATTTGTAAGTAGAATAAAAGAGTAATAACAACAATCGTATGACAGTGTAAAATAATGAATAGAACAAGGATACTGAAATGTGCATTAAAACTGAAATTTAATCACACAATATGGTACAGTCAGACACTGGAACACCTCAAGAAGAGAGGAAAGAGCTGTGAAGAAATCAAAAAGGAAATATTATAGGAAGAAACAAGAGATCAGAGACCTCTTCTATTGACCTTTATAACATGAAGAGAATACTAGGAGGGGGAAGAGAAGATAGAACGAAAGATGAAGAAAGAAGTGTCTATACACTTATCCAAGCTCCTGTATTCTTTGCCTAAAATATCTTTGAGGTTATGCCACCATCAGATAGTGATGTATGTCCTTATGCCTTCATTAGAAAGTGACTACATTCTATTTTCAACTATGGTGTGAAGGAGACTTGTCATGCCAGAGGCCTCACGGAACATAAAGGACTCTTTGTTAGTAAAATTACATACTTAAATTATGATCTACCCTTAGAAATGTTCTGGACAAGCTGTATGACTACTGTACTTACCAAGTAATGTGGGATCAATACCATCTGTGTCTCCTGATACAGTGAAGGAGTATGGATCACTTGGATTTTGTTGCCATTGTATGCTACAGTATCCTTGTGCCATCCGAACACATACTCCATAGTTTGTGTTGGCTAGCTGTCGGGTCCCATACATGTCTGAGGAGTAATAAAGTATTTGAAGATAAATGTCTTGTCTGTACCCTCAAAAAAGTTTACTCTCAAGAAAAGAGGCTAAACGTTTCAAAATCAAACATGAACACTGTACATTTTGTTTGGCAGAGTTCACAGAAACATCTTTGTATTTCAGCATCCTGTTGTATCATGTTTAAACTTTTAAAATGAATGAGAGACTGTGATAGAACAGATTGTGTTCTATTAGAGATGACAATGAAGTGAATATGTGACTCTTGCCCCGGTTGGGAATCAACCCAGTTGTTCAGACCTTAGCCTAGTCACTGTGCTGATTGAATTATCCCAGCTCCTCCCTGCTCAATGTCACATGTTACTTCTACTAGGCCAGTATGCAGCAGGCATACATGGCAGAAAGGTATGGCTTGCCCATGCTACTAGCAACAATGCTATCTTGCACTGGAAATATCAGGAGTTTGTAATATCAGTGACATAAAAATTCACCATTGAAGCTTACTTTGACAGTATTTGTAAATGTAAAAATGTAAATTTGTCTCTGTACTTAATTAATGAAATATCACACCATAAAAATATATGGGTGAGTAGAGGCATAGCTCCACCATTCTTGGTTCCTGCACTAGCAATTATAATATATACAGCTCTCAGTCCTTATGTCACATGTCTGCAGAAGAAAGTGATGTTTCACTCACCAGTGCCTCTACCAGAAGGGCCATAGTTAAAGCTCTTCACACTGCCTTCTAAATCTCTGTAATACATCAGGCAACCAGTTGGGGCTGTAAAAAACAAACATACAAATATCAAGAGACGTAAATATGTTTCTTTCATGTTTGAAGTTCCATGTACTGATGCACTACGGAAATAATTACTTATCCCAGGGTTATGATGTCTGACAGTTAAATAACAAGAATTATTCTGAGTTTATAAATTTCACATCACAAAGCCTGTAGAGAGTTCAAGAGGAAACTGTAATTATCAGTAGCATTGCTGGATGTCAGCTTCAGTAATATCAAATCAATGATATCAGTGCTAAACTTCCTCCATTTAAGATTTTCCTGTGCTCATATCTGTTACTCTCCAAAGAAACCTTAAGTGAGGGTTCCACTGTCCTGTTTTCTTTTCTGCTAAAATTTGGTTTATCAAAAGTTATGTGTGTGAGGGCATCATGAGAAACCACTGTCACATTATAAATTCAGATTCTAATGTGTGACTTACACTTTTCATAATACACCATGCAGAATGTTTAGGTTTTCCAGCATTTTGGCAAGCACTGCATTTGCCACCTTCATAGGTAAGTCTCTGGGGGATTTTGGAAGCTGCTACATAGATCTCACTGTGGGTGGTGAGTCAGAGATGAAGCTGTGATTGGACAAAATAAAGATGCAGGGTGTTATCCAGTAGCAAAAAGAAACATCTTGTTAATGAAAACAGGTGATGAAAAATGTAACCATGTGATCACTGAAACATTTTTTATAACCTCTTTTCAATAACCACATGGTTGCCCCTGTTGGATAGCACCCCACATATCTATTCTGTCCAATTACAGCTTCACCACTGACCCACCACCAAGTTTTATATCTATTTATAGCTATGTATGTAACAGTTATTAAAACCCCCAAAAGGCATTAACCCTGAGGATTGGAACCACAATATTTGTCGAAATGGAAAACCTTTTAACATTCTATATGATGTCCAAAATCCAAATCACACATAAAACTCCACTTACAAAAATCCAGAGACAAGAATTGATATTCAAATCAAAGATAATTATGGTTATGGTGTTGAATAATGTTATGAGTCTTATATTGTTATTTCTATGTAGTGTTATTTGTATTATCAATGACTAATTCCTTATCCTATATGTAGTGGATTTATGGAATGTAAACAAATGATGATGATGATGATGATGAGAATTAATCAGCATTTCATACAGAATTCTGCAGCACAAAGCTTAAAAATAGTCACATAATTTCTTTACTTCAGTATTCAAGTTCATACCTCGCTCAGTACTAGTGCACTCTATCTGAGTAAGCTTAATGTTCCACATGCGGTTCACAGATACTGAGGGATCAACTCGAACACTCACTTGAATTGGTGTGTTATCTGTGAGGAAGTCCACATACACTGAAACAAAGAAGCTCTGCTTTTTATTCTATTACCACAGAAATTTCAATAGGAAAGTGTTGCAGTTATCAACATCATTAATGAATTTAGAGCATAAAATATACCGAGAAAGCAGTTAGCATGCGCATGCAACATTTCTTGCCTAAATACAAAACCACAAAATTTCTAATCTCAATAATTTGAAGAATTCTGGAAAGAAAACATTTACACTAAGATACTACGAGTATATTTGATAGAATAATAATATGAAATAAGAAGTACTACTATTGGCAGGAATGATATGAATGCTTCTCAGTAAAGATGTATATCAGTTCAAGAATATCTTCCAATGTTGTCTGTTTATTATTTATTTATTTTGTGACTTATTTAACTATGCTGTCAGTATATATATATCTGTATAGTGTCAGATTTGATGAGTGATGAATGATGAATTGGAAAGCATTTGGTTGGAAGTGATAATGGCCTAACTGTAGTATTATCCTGTCTGCTGTTCACTGCTGCCAACTCTGACTTTTTAACATACATAACAACACAATAACAAGCATTGGCCTCTTACATATAAGAACATCTATTACATCAGTTGCTCAGTATTCACTTTGTGCTCTGAGGCGACCCAAAGGTAGTGATTTCAGAGCCAGTCAGAGGAGAAGCAGGAAGAAGTATGTCACATTTTTATATTTGAGACTTCTGCAACAGTGAAGAGTCATACCATGTCCTTATGCACTGTCACACTGTGTAGCCTGGCAGATTACAAATGTTTTGGAGGAACATACTGACTCTACCTTCATTTAGTACAAAGATGGAAACAGCACGGTTCTCCGAAACACTGGTACCCACCTGCCAGAGTGCATGGTGTCACAAACAACAAGACCAAACCATTAAACCATGCCATAGCTCAGGCAGTTAGCTATCAGCTTTTCACTACAGTTGCCTGGGTTCAATCCCAGCTTGTCATATGGGATTTATGATGGGAGGGGCGAATTTTCTCCAAACACTTTGGTTTCCCCTGCCAATTCTCATTCCACCTTCTGCTCTTCACTTGCTATTCATCCTGTCATCTGACACTATACAGTCTTAATGCTTGCTAACTTTGTGGAACTGAGCCCTTCTTGAGAAGCCACCAATTGTGCAGCCACTCAAGAACTTCCCAGCAATTTATGGAACCAGAGGTCCATTACTATGTTCACAAGAGCCCTCCACTGGTCCATATTCTGAGCCAGATCAATCCAGTCCATACCACCCCATTCTATCTCCCTAAGATCCGTTTTAATATTATCCACCCAACTATATCTTGGTCTTCCTACTGGTCTCATTCCTTGTGGCTTTCCCATCAATATCCAAATTGCATTCCTTTTCACCTATTCGTGCTACATGCCCCGCCCATCTGACCCTCCTTGACTTGATCATTCTAATGATACTTGGAGAAGAGTACAAGTCATGAAGCTCCTCATTATGCAGTTTTCTCCAACCTCTTGTCACTTCATCTCTCTTCGGTCCAAATATTCTCCTCAGCACCCTGTTCACAAACACCCTCAGTCTATGTTCCTCCCTTAATGTTAGATACCAAGTTTGACACCCATACAGAACCAGAGGTAAAATTATGGTTTTGTATATTCAAATTCTTATGTTTTTAGACAGCAGACAAGAAGACAAAGGGTTCTGGGCTGGATGTTAGCAAGCATTACCCAAAATCAATCTCTTCATAAGTTCCTCCTGAATCAAAATTTGATCTGTTACTGTTTTTCCCGAATATTTGAACTGTTCAACTTTTTCAAAACATCTGTTAGCTGTCTTTATATCATGATTTTGCCCTGCATTCTGACAGCATTCTTAATTAGCCAAATTAAGAAATAAATAAATAAAATTAATTGAATTCAAATTTTCTCAGGATAAACAAGAACACGCATAAGTTTTCCATTCTCACAAGTACACAAACTTACCATGTTCATTGGTGTTTTCGCCGCAGATACGAGGCACTGAGGTAGCACCGCCTGCTATTTCAAGGTAATCATTAATACAGAATCCATTGGCATCCGGCTCAGACACAGAAAAGTCAAGTAAATCAATACGTAGCTGTTTAAGAGAAAGGCAGATGTTACATACAGACTGCTCCAACAATCAAAAACAAATTTGCAATATTTCATAATTATTGCAGGATTTGAAGTACTCACAGTGGTGGTTATGAAGCGTTGTATCTTTTGGTATATAATGCCATTAGGCCCACTGAAAATAAACTGATGTTTCAGAGGAACGTGTTACCTGCATCTTCAGGGTTGAAGAATAAATCAAGCAAGAAACCAGCATGAAGTAGGTAGCAATCTGTAGGCAACATGTTGCTGCAAAATATTAGTTGACTTTAAATGGAATATAAGGCACTATATCTGAGAACTCTTCTTAACCACTACTGTGTAAACCTCAGATCCTACCACTGTTGCATAATTTGAGGAGCACCTGCATTTTGGACATGGTCTAGATCTGTTTCTGTTGTCAGCTGTAAAGCAGGAAATGTTCCCACTCACTTTGGCCCATCAGAAAGGTCAGTATTAGTCACAGGACAATGACAACCACCCGGAATATTTTTGTCCCATTCATCTAATGTGGGAAACAGATGAAATTTCCAAAGAAACTGCATTGGAAAATATATAGAAGGACACTGTCCAAGATAATGACCATTTTTCACTTAGTGGGGGTGGAGTCCAGCTGCGTCCACTCGGTACAGTAGCCACTGATTGGCCTATTGTACCTGCCCTGGGTGATTATGATGATGGAGAATTTGGTGGAATGAAGATTGGCAGGGGAAATCGAAGAACTGGGAGAAAACCCGCCCCAGCGCTACTTTGTCCACCACAAATCCCACTTGACCAGACCCAGGATCGAACTTGGGCCGCCACGGTGGGAAGCCAGTGACTAACAGCTTGAACTATGGCGCGGCCCTAAGATAATGACCATGGCTATTATAACACATTATCATTAGAAACATTAAAATTTAGCTTAAGTCTGTCACCTGATTGATCTATTTCAGGTCAAACAGAAGGAAATCATCAAAGTGTGTTTTTTGGGAGAAGATTTTATTTGGTTTTTTCTTCTTTTGTTACCTGGCAAATGTTAGAATTACACTTGTAGACAGCAATGTTGCAACGTCCACTGCCAGTGTACGCCCCAGGGAAGTTAGGGTTAGTGAAATATGTGCAGTTCACGTGGGTGGATGCGCCACAGGACTTCTGAACTGCAAAGACATTGAGAAGCTACAACACCTCTTAAGTAACATTATGTGCCAAATAGCAGTTAAGCACAGAGGATGCTGAAAAGAACGGCATTGCAATGCCTGGTCTCATGCTTCAAAAGTACAAACATAAATCAACTTTGTATTTAGTCAAAAGTTATTTTGACAATTAGCAGACAGATGGCAATTACATCAGTGTATTTCTCTTCTATCACCTGATAGACACCAGTGTACTTACTAATACAGCAGGTGCCCCAGTTTCGGGCACAGCTACCAGATGCTACACCTCCCGCATCAGAACATGCTTTCCTCGAGAAGCATGTCCCAAACTGGCCATTTGTTCCACTACATTGGACGTTCTTGAAACGGATCACACTGAAGAATGGGAAGACTTGAAACACAAACAAAATATCAAAATTATTTCTTGTAATTGGCCGTCTACCTTGATCACAACAATTTATTTTTAATATCACTATCAGACATATTTTGGCTAGTAAATTCATAAAGAAATTGTTGTGACATGCATATATATTCAGTTACAAGAAATAATCTTGATAATACATACATACCACAGACATGAATTCCATCAAAATTGATAACCAATATTATTAGTAATACCAGGAAACAATTTTAAAAATCCTGCATCATACTGCTTCTTGGTTTATTCTAGAAAACCTCTCATGTGATTTTTTATATAGCATTAAATTATTATGAATTATATGTTGGGAAGAGTGTGGAAGTGGTCGTGGCCTGTGCCATTCTAAATTAGTCTAGAGGTCAGAATTACTGGGTTTTTGGACTACGTCGACCATATGGTATTCTAAATACTAGAGAACACAACTTTTCAGAAACTGGATCTGTTTCCATTCTCAGGTGAGGGGGAAAAACGTACTACATTGGGTCCCTTAGAAAGACCTAGCTTCAATCATTGGACAATCCATGTCAGTATAACTACAGCTATACAAATGCTTGAGAGTAGACTTTGTCGAAGGGAAATATGCAATAGAAATTGCGATAAAGGATGCACAGATCTGGAACTAAGATATAAAGGGGACAAACTTTTTAAATAAATCTATCCATCAAACCACGCCCATGCAAATCAATGCGTAGGATTAAATGGAGAATAAGTACCCACCTGTCTTTCCAGTCCTACATGTTACAACATGATATGTTAAGGTTGATGTTGAAAACTCCCTACCACCAATAAATGAACAAATAGCCAACTGTAAACTGTATCCTTTATGCATTATATTACACTTTACATGTACACATTGAAATATATCAGCAATCTAGGTATGAACACAATACATTAAAACCAAAGCCTGTTCGCTAATTCATGACCTAGAACATAATTTGTCTTCATGCTACGTTTTAATGCTCGATATTTAGTTGCTATGGTAACCTGGAACTGAGTAATAGAAAGTAAAATTATCTCTAGGATTAATTATTAAGCACCACGCCATGAAGATGCATGGAGGTGTGGAGGTGAAGCTACACCACTCTTAACTGCAGCATTAGTTGCAGATGAGTTGTCATTTTCGTGTCTCTGGTGCTTTATGCCGCACCCGCCCTGATACCCACTGTGTAGGAGGTTGGGTGGGCCCCATAGCCGCTCTGAACGTTATGGATAACAGAAAAATCTCTTTCCCCTACTGGGACCCAAACCCCAACTCCTTGGTCGTCCAGTCCATTGCATGATCCCTATATCACCATGATAAATCTCACTGTCAGGATACTTTTCTATACTTACAGAAGGACCTGAGATCCCCACAGAAATGAGTACTGAAATCAGGGATTTCTGTGGTGTGATGCCATGTCATTTGATGGACAGGTACACATGTCTTGCAGAAAGTGTTGCCATCATCTTCAGGGAAAAAAGAGGAATGGCTTAACCTGTCCCTCTTCACTCTCATAACAGTCAAAAAGAGTAGTTGCTGGACATATTGTGATATGTAGACGCATTGCCAAGCAACAGCTGTGTAAACGGGTATAGTACAACAGCCATTACTAGGGAACAGCTCTGTGGACATGTCGTTTCTCCGGCAATGAGAGAAGAACACAATAATGGAAGAGACGTTCCCTGTGCAGTCAGTGCCGGGACGATGTAACGATAACTAGTAGTTATTTAATCAGTTGAGAATTGTAGTTGTAAGAAGTCAGAAGCTGGTATGAGGCCAGAACAGTTCAGGAATCCAGAAGACGGGGAACATTCGCCATTGGAAGCCACTACCAAGCAACGGCTAGTGAAGACTGAGAAGACTTCATGTGCACTGTACTTACAATGATCTTTGGGGTGTGTAACTCAGCGAGAATGTTGTAGTTATTTATAGTTACACGTTCTTTAAGAGTCCAAAAAATTGGATCGCCAATTAAAACCCCATGTATAATCATATTCAATCAGGTGACAATATCATGGTACTCAACAAATGCAGCAGAAGGCGCTGAATCCAGTCGGTTCTGGTTGTGCGTTCCCTTACGGGTGAAGTGGAAACGAAGCTAACCACTCATGTCCACCCAGTGCCGAGATTGAGAATGTGTGGACATTCACTGTGAGTTACTTTATGATGCTCTTAGTATTTAAACATGTAGCATTGAAAGATAAGGCTGATAAATTTGAATACATTTGGAACGAAGTGACTGTGGCCTGATTGAATTATTATCCCAGTATTCCTGAAGGAACTAAGGAAAATCAAGGAAAATTCAGAGTAGCCCATGTACTAACCACGAATCGAACCAAGCACCTCCAAAATACATCACCTTACACCAACATGCTTGAAGGCAATTTTTTGGAAACACTGAACTAGAATAAATAGATGGACAAACCAAAGAAAATATGCGATCTCAATGATTACAACTATCCTTTTGGACTCTGTCCATCAGTCCAGCTATTGTAAACCACTACAGTTCCTAATTAGCTCTGTTTCCTTCACCAGATTGACAGGAAGAAAGCCTAGTATTTTGGGTCCCTAGGTAGAAATATTCTGAACCAAGTGTTCTTACAAGAAACTGCAAATTTTTTTCTGTTACAGACCATTCTTCATTCTACATAATATATGAAAATTAAGTTCATACCTCACAGGAAACACACAAGATCTCTACTTCAAAAGTCAACATGTCAATGCTATTTAAAGGAAACTTCGTTGTTTACTGTGAGAAACAGACTATTTAAATACACTGCATAGGTAGAAGTTAATCTTGGAGCATTACCGCTATATCAACAAGCTCCTGTTTTGTGTACTCCCATATTTACAAATATTTGCCTTAAAGTTTAACACAACTTACACTTGTTGTCACGATTCATTCCAGCCTCATTTTTCAAGTTTCTGTCTGTCCAGTTTGGCCCCTCAAGGCCCTGCCCTATGGCAGCGCTACAGAGCACAAACAACTTCAAGAAAGACAACATAACAGCCTCTGGTATTGTAGACAGAATGGTAACGAAGTATCCAGTTCACTGCCACATATATCCTACACCTCTTGACACATCCTTGTTAATTGGCATAACTGAAACTCTTTTTATCTCTGCTTAAGTGGCCATAACTGTACCTTAACCTGCAAGGTGTCCCCATTCCCTAACACAATCAACCCTTTTAAGCGCAGCAGAAATAGTTAACGTTAACCTGCAATTCAGCGAGTCTGTATTTGCTTATTTTGAATTCACCTGATAATTGTTTAAAACAGGTAGTGGTATAGTCTAACCACAATTCATTAATATTGATATATTTGTATTCTTATTGTTAAGTAAATTGTTGTATAGATGTTAACCATATATAATTAGAATAATAAAGTCAAAGAGGATGAGATGGGCAGGGCATGTAGTATGAATAGTGTTTGGATGGGAAAGAGAGGAAGGACCACTAGGAAGATGTAAATGTAGATGGAGGACAATATTAAAATAGATATTAGAGAAACAGGATTGTGTGATATGGACAGGATTCATCTGGTTCAGGGGAGGGATGAGGGGATAGCTTTTGTGAACATGGTAATGAACCTTCAGTTTCCATAAAATGTTCAGAAATTGAGTAGCTGAGCAACTGGCAACTTCTCTAGAAGTCCTCCATAGAATTAGAGGTCCACTGTATACTGTTATGCTATTAAAATGATAGGATGCAAATAATAAAGATGAGAGAATATTAAAATTGATTTTAAAGAGAACATGGTGGGAAAGTGTGGACTCAATTCATTAGGAACGCGAGGAACAAGAATTACTCATTTTCCAGTATAGGCTTACATGTTACACTGTAGCATATAGCTAGTATTACAGTGACAAATGTTTATGCTTCTTTTTTCTTGTTGCTTTGATGGCATATAATGCTTGAAAGATAGAAGTCATTTGATAAGGAGCATACATTCATCAACTGAAAGATTCTTATCACATCCAGTATGTATACTCAGATAGCACCTATGCATTATGGTCCTCTCAGATAGTGCCATGCACAGGAAGTATAGACAGGATAAGCAGCCCTCCTGACACATAATTTGTGAATGCTTTAGCTAGGTACAGATCTGAAATCTTAACCTCTGTATGGTTGGAGCCAACAGAAAACATGAGGGCCTCAGACAGAATGGCTCTAGATCTAGCACTGAGGGAGAGCTTTTTGAAGAGTCCTAGTAAGATCAGGGCCACACAGTGGGCCCAGCAGTGGTATGAGTTCTTGGGCAAACTCACAGTTGTTCATCCCAAATCAATACAGAACACAGAACTACATGTAATAATATCCATATATGTATCAAAATCGACTCAGCCTATTAGCTACATCAAAGATGAATTTAAAACCAACATGTCAGAGATTTGCTTTGTTTATTAGAGCCAATGTAGGGAATGACTATCAGTTCCTGAAACATCATTCAGTCAGTGCAGTGCCTCTTCCTTACTGGTGCACTAGGCAATAGGAAGGCAGAGTCAGAGCATTTTCACTCCTAGTTTGAATCAGTAAGAAAGAGGGGGAAGATAGTGACTGAACTACATATGTATCAGCAACTTATTCTCAAAATGTTGGCTTTAAATCCAACTTCAACACACTGGTAATCTTGTGAGGAGATTATGGTGCATTTATCCATAACAAAAGCTTCAAGTCTTACACAATGTCTATATGCATTCTTGGTGAGGTTAATATTTTGGCTCAGTCTCTAGCAGGAGCAAGATTTTTCTCTTTCCACAGCTTCCAGACTGGCTCTGGGCCCACTCAGCCTCCTATCTCATGAGTACTGGTGGACATTTCCTTGGGAGTAAAGCTGTAGAAGATTGAATCTGTCCACTCACCTCCATCTAGTGCTGAGGTCGTGAGTGGTGGAGTCATACCTCCACTATTCCATAGGTTTTCATGGCGTGGTGCTTAATTAATTAATCCCAGGAACAACTTTACCATTTGCCTTATTTTTTATAAAGTGCTGCTCAGTCAGGCTATTTAAATGGCATAGAAAAGATAAATGAAATTTAAAATGGTCTCTTTTAAATATTTTTAAGAGCAAGAAGAATGGATTAGCCAATACATATGCTGGGAATGTGACTCCAAAGTAGGCATATGAAACATAATCAAATTCCTATTTCTGCAGCAACAAAAACTCTCTAATGATGTACTAAAACTTTTCCCCACTTCCAGTACTCAGAAATAGGGGAACAACATAGCACAACATTCCTAAGATGTAACAGTGTATTATCATCAGCTGCTGTTGACACAACAGGACCATATTATTTAAAGATCCGTGGTCCTAACTGCTTGACTTCACAAGCCCCAAGCCCCAAGTTGGGGAGGTGAATGCAGCACTCTTGTCAGATATCAATTTAAATACCAAACATTGATACATGCAGTCAGGTTATGTACAAGTATGTCTATGGGCTGAATGAATCATCAGGTGATGCACTTGCAAAGCACCTGGAAAACAAGTCACTGTTTATCTATGCTGTTTCAAGGTGAATAGTGTTAGGGTTTTAATGAGGGATCGTAACTTAGGGGCAGGACTCTGGGTCATACAGTGCTACACAGATGGCCACACTTCAGTCGGGTCTCTTACACCATGTTTGTACAAAAACAGGTTCAGTATTGAAATTCACTTCCTTTCCTTAGCAAACATCATTCAGTCCAGTTCCTTTGAACATATCCACTTCATGTTCATGTCCTCTATCACTCCATTCAGGTCCGTGGCCATGAAACAACTTTCAGAAATTTCATCCCTGTTCATGTTCTTTTCAGCCCTCGATTTAGGGTCTCTCATAATTTAACATTTGAATTCAATGATCCCAAGTCAACAATTTCTGTGTTAAGTTTCCATTATTCAAGACTTTCCTCAGTTCAGTTTCCAAATTCACTGCATCACAAAAATAATTTAGATGAAGTGTCTCTGGCTTCCCCCTCAAAAGCAAAATAAGCCGGTCTGTAACTTCAGGAACAATACTGTTACAGCGCGAGTTGCAGATTAGTCACAAGGTATCTGACGATACATCAAATTAAAGCCTCTGTTTGCAACATCAGTCCCCATTTCAGTGTCATCTGTTACCACAGTCAACACAAACGGCCTTGCAGAGGCTGCAAATAAAGAAATTCCTGTTAGCACACAAACACAAAACCACTGCTGTGTGTTAGGTAAGGAGATACGGAACTGCTTACAGCAGATGATAGCCCACTGCAGGGTGTTCAAATCAGGTTCGTGGGTCACATGTAAGCTGCAGTGAATATGAATATGGAAAGCCAGAACTAAACAAACAAACAACAAACTCCGTGACCTGTACCAACCGAGCGACCGCCGCTTGTTGGCGAAGTTAGTGCCGTGGTCTAGTGGTCAGAGTTCCTGCTTACAGATCTAGAGGTCCCGGGTTCGATTCCCGGCGCTACAGGATTTTTTTCTGAGAAGTAGTGGGTCTGGAACGGGGTCCCCTCATGAAGAAAATCAAGGAGCTATTTCAAGGAAATAGAGACTGCGGTCTAGAAAACTGAAATTAACGGCCATGGGGATTCGTTGTGCTGACCATATGACACCTTCTATCCGCAAAAGTTGGCCAGAGCTAAACACTGATTTCATATTTCACTGAAATCTTACACAAGCATCAGATTGATGAATTAGCATACACTCCACATAACTTGCTTACAAATAATTTTAAACGTTCTCAGAATATTTTGTACATACTACTGGAAACTTACTTGTGGTTGGTACCAATGCATTGCCACAAAATCTGTCAGTAGTTAGGCTCGTTCCACCCTGGGAAGGGTTTGGTATTACAATGAAATCAGCGGTGCATTGTTCACCACTCAGAGCTACAGTTGCAGTTCCTGCAAGAAATAGACAGGATCTTGGAGACAACCCAATGTACAAATGATCAACACAGAACGGTCTGAGGTGCCCTCTCTTTCTCTGACTGAAACACCAAAAGATGTACCCAGAGTTCTGCCCTCTATACATGGATTGAATTTATATAAATGAAAGATAAATCTAACACTGATATTCAAAAATCTTTTGTTGTGCCAAAATCAAATTGTGACATATTTCTCAAAACCTTTCACTGTGTCATAATACACTCTTAATGCAATTAAACTACAATTTGAAGTTTCTTTGGAGAACACTGAATTTCAGCACTAAGCTGAGAGAAAATGTGAATAGAAGAAATTTAACACTAAAATTATTGTCTTGGATCACTGGAACTTTACTTTCAAGAGAAAAAATTACATCTTGGGACATTAAATGTGGGTTCCACTGTATAAAGTCATGTATCTCATTAAGATATGCCACTTTTTATGAAATGATTGTATGATTTGACAAATAATGTATCAGCGCTCTTAATATAGGATTTTATTTTGTTTCTGAAAGAAACAAATGCTGCACTATATAATTAAATAATGATTTCAAAATAAATATCCAAAATTGTAATTAAATGCACAAAACAGCTAATAAAAAGTAAACATTTACAAAATTCTTTTCATGTCAGATATCAGAATGATTCCACAGAATTTAATATTCAAACAAACTTGACTTGACTGTTTTAACATAAAGAGAGGAAGGAAGGGAGGGAGGGATAATGATGTGCCAGGCAAATGAAAGGCATGAGTGAGGAACATGGGAGGAAGAGTGAAGGAGATAATGGCATGAATAGTATAAAGCAAAGTGCGAAAGGGGAGAGTGATGGGAAGTTAAAACAAAATTCTGAAGATGCCAAATCAGTACATGTGCTAAACAGTCAAGGCCAAGTGACAGGATATCCTGTATTCTTAACATGTACATATTACTGTGGTCTCAGCTTTGTGTTGGCATGCAAAGCTTAATGCTTTAATTAAACTGTATTTAATCTGTAGATAGCAACAGTACAGTTTATATGACAAATGAAGGCTTTTCATAGAATCTTCAACAGGCATTATCCTACCATTACTATATCTCTTATCTCTTGTGTCTAGAGAGAAGGGTGTGTGTCTGCTTGTTCTTCAAACATTTCCACATCATAGCACATATTTTGACCAAATTTAGCAGGATGATAAACGGGCCTCTTGGGGAGGTTCTTTAGCATTGCAAACTGCAAAGGTCTTAGTTTAAGAATTCCAAAAATATTTAAAACCTCCTGAGACAACAGACTTTTGCTTATTATTTCAGAAGCATTCATTCTAGCATGCTGGGGATTTTGCATTTGATAGAGCTTTGAAAAGCAAAATAGAACCCTTGCTTATTCGATGCATGTTTACATATACATGTTATAAGTCATTTTTATATACTGCCGTTCAATTCTCCAAAAATAAAGGCAACTTTAAAATTTCACAAAAAGGAGATGAGCTGCATTTTACCTTTAAAAAGCAAACCGTAATCTTTCATGCTTAATGTTCTACAGTATATATATCCCAATTCAAATAAAACCAATGGTCAACGAGAAATTAATTAACAAAACAAACTCAGTGGCCTGTAGTCTGCAAGTGAACTATACCAACTGAGCGACCGCCGCTTATCAATGAAGTTTAGTGCCAACTTTTGCAGATACTGGGTGTCGCATGGTCAGCGCAACGAATCCCCACGGTCGTTAAATTCGGTTTTCTAGGCCAGAGCCGCCATTTCCTTGAAATAGCTGAGTGGACCCCATTGCAGACATAGTACTTCTCAGAAAATCTGGACGCGAACCCGGACCTCTGGATCTGTAGCCAGGAACTCTGACCACTAGACCACAGAGGCGATTGAGGAGAAATTAATTAACATCATAAAATAACATAATGATTATTGAATGAAAAATGACAGTTACAAGAGTGTGAGGTTGGCTGTACTGCACTAATATCATTACATAGTTAACAATAGTTTGGAACAATGGTAGAATGACAACTGGCAGGGGGAAACTGAAGTGCCTGGAGAAACCCTGACCAGTGTCACAATGAATGCCACATGAACTGATATGGGCTTTAAACCGGATCCCCACAGAGAGAAAGAGGCACAACAAAATACTTATGTAAATATACTTACCAAGCAAATCTGTGGGCAAGACTTCAGTATCACCTGACACGGTGAAGGTGTATACATCGCCGGAAACCTGGCTCCACGTTATGCTGCAATATCCAAGCCCTGCACGAACAAACACTCCATAGTTCGTGTTGACGATCTGGCGTGTACCGGACTGATCTGTGCACACGGTGGCTCTGCTTAGCTTTGTGCATAACAAAACTGGAGCATGGGTTTATCGTCTCATGCACAGCAGAACCCTCATTTAACCTTCCCCAGTTTAATGTTGTCCCTGCGTTTAATTGATTGAGCACAATGCCATGAAGAGTGGGAGTGGAGGTATAGCTCCACCATTCTTGACCTCGGCACTAGATGGAAGTGAAGGGCGGAATCTTCCTCCTCTCCACATCATCCAGACCGGTTCTGGGGCCCAGCAAGCCTCCTATCCAATGGGTATTGAGGGCTCCTTCTCCTGGGGTTAAAGTGGCCAGAACTGAAGCTGACCACTCCCCACCAACTAGTGCCGAGGTCAAAAATACTTGGATATATAAATCATCTCCCCTTTATGCCTTCACGGCATAGTGCTTAATTAGTTAGGTAGACGGGCAACTTTACCTTACTTTATTTAATTTTAAATTTCATTGACCTCAAGTCACTAATCACAGTGCTAAATTACCTCCATTTAAGATACTCCACAGTTTAGTGCTCAGAACAAAACTTAACCCTTCTGCTGAGATATTTGACTTAAGTTAAACAACTGTATAGTGTGACATTCAACTTTAGTCCTTCTCCTTTCACTACATCATTCGACTTCATTCAATGGGCTATGAAAACACATTTTTGTTGCATTATTTTAAGAAAATAATGGGAGAAAATACATAACAAAAGGGCTGAATGGGGATCTCACTGTTTGTCACAACTACATGTGGTATCCTTCAGCACTCACAGAAATAAGATCTAGGTAAGATGTTCATAAGCGGCCTCCATAGTCTAGAGGTAACGTTCCCACCTCATGACTCGTAGTACGCGGGTTCAAAAACCCGGCAGAGGTCGTGGAATTTTTAAGGGTGGAAAAATTCAGGGAACAAGTCCTCCGGGAGGGACTTTAAGCCGTGGGTCTTGTGTCGTAGATTTACGGCACGTAAAAGAACCTCATGTCTCTAGGAGACCTCTGAGCAAAATTAGGCAACATTTCCCACCCAAGTAGCTTCCAGTTCCTCCGGTAGATGGGGGAAGTATTAGGTACCACTGCCAGAGGAGAGGGGACCTCTCTGACAGAAAGGGACTAACTATTAGATACCACTGCCAGAGGAGGTTGGAACCTCGCTGGCAGAAAGGGGCTGATAGTAAGCACCAGTACCGGTAGGGTATGGAGACAGTAGAAATTAAAGGGGCACGCACAATGGACCACTAACCAGTCTAAGTGCATGGGGAAACCCACCCCCTCAATACGGAATACGGAAAGATGTTCATAAAATTTACAATATTCCTGTGAACATAATGTTATAGCCCGTGTTTAATAAAAAAGGTCAAATCTGAAAAATCAGATACCCTTGAAGGTTAAGATAATTATTTACCAGCACAATACTGTTGTACTGAGCAGGCTGGGGCAGTAGTAGTGAATCTGAACTGAGATTCCAGCTACTCTCACTGAGGCTTGTCACATTTTGTTTCAGTCCTTCCAAGCAAATACCCAAGGCAGTTCAGTCAGTATAGCCACTGGTTATAGGCTGGGTGGCCAAGGAATATGGGTTCAATTCCTGGCAAATGCAAAAGATTTCTCTCACTGCACTCAGTCCAGACTGGCTCTGGGACCCACCCAGGCTCTTGTTCAATGGGTACCGGGGGCTCTTTCCCCAGGGTTAAAGGGGGCAGGGTGTGAATCTGATCACTTAACTTCATGTAGTGACACTGTTAAGAACCTGGATCTATACAGGCATTTCACCATTCATCTTTTTTAATTAAACAAAAAGACAATTTTACCTTTTACTTTTAACTTTTACCCTAGAGGCAAACTGTATACCACTCTGATGAGGCTCTCTTGCAAATTATTTTCAATTCATTATCACCAGTCACACTACAATGTGTTCCTCTATAATCTGTGATGCTGACAGTATGCAGAATATATCACAGAAAAGAAATCAACTTTACCATTATAACATCTTCATCATGACTACCGTAATTAAATGTGAAACATTTTGTAGAAAAATTCTTTGCCAATTACTAATCATTTTGCAGGTTATGCTACATGTAATGGTAAAACGAAGTTACATGTCACTTACCAACACCTCTACCATAGTTAAAACTCTTCACAGTGTCTGTAAGTGCTCTGTAGTACATGAGTGCACCAGCAGGAGCTGTGGAAACCAAATGCAGCTGTAGTAACACACAGGAACATTCTTTATACTGTACTTAAAATTCCATAACTAACATGTTTACAGTCACCATGTAATTTGGTAGATAGTTACCATTTCTTTGGAAGAGCATTTTTTTTTATTGCTAGTGGGGTGGGACTAAGTCCCTTGTACTGCGGTCACTTCTGGCCTATTGTACCAGCCCCAGATGATAGTTGAGGGTGATTGTTGAGCAATTGGTGGGATGAAGATTGGCAAGGGAAACAGAAGTACTCGGAGACAATCCGCCCCAACGCCACTTTGTCCACCACAAATTCCACTTGATCAGACCCGGGATCGTACCCGGGCCGCTGCAGTGGGAAGCCAGCGACTAACCGCTTGAGCTATGGCGCGGCCCTTTGGAAGAGCATACTGCCTCTATCTTCAGGGTGAAAGAGTAAGCTGAGCAAGTGCCCATGGAGGCAGTATTGTGTTTAAGACCTTAAATGTTTGTGACGATGTTACATGAATACAATTACTACGTTTCTGGACATTGTCCACCATCCTGTTTTTATTTCAAACACACAATATTTTGGAGACTGGATTCTGTCCTTGAAACTTGTAGGTTTTAAATAAAATAGAATGAAGGATAATGTCCAGAAACACAATAAAAGTATTGTGTTTGATTGGCTTACTCTTTGATCCTGAAGACGGAGGGAAACATTTTTCTCCAGTATATGAGTAGATTATATGATGTCACATATCAATAGTACCCTTTATGACAGATTGGTTCAGACATCAGACATGTCATTGGTGACATCTATGTTAGTGATGTTAAACTTTTTGGTTCAAATACGTGACACTTGATCAACCCACATCAGTCAGCGGCTTTAGATAGCACAAGCTTCCTTTGTTAAGTACCTACCACGCTCAGGACTTGCACAGTCTATCTGGCTGACCTTAATGTTCCACTTGCGACTGACACTAGCCCCTGTGCCAGCTCTGATGCTGAGCTGAATTGGCACATTATCTTCCTGGAAGTCGACATACACTGAAACATACAGACTTTGCTTTTCATCCTGTCATTCTTATTCTTACACTGTGTGCCAGCTGATGCCTCTCATGTGAAAAAGATCTTCACTAAGATTATTACTGTTTTGTGGCTGTGACACTATTTAGTGCTGGAAAGGGTCTTCTCCCTAAGCAAGTCACAGAAACTTGAAGGAACACAGAATTGCCCATGATTTGGTTATTGATCTTGGTCATGAAGCCCAGTGTACACGGCCCTTCTTATGGCCTCTTTCCTCCCATCTACATCCCATTTATTTATTTTGCCAATTCTCTCCTTCACTACACTGAATGCACTGGTCTAGAAGTAATGCTCTAGATTTCTATTCCAGAGGTGCTGGGTTTAAATCTCCCCCAAATCACTAACTATCCCGACTGAGAGATTTTGTGGTATTCCTCAGTCCCTGCAGGTAAATGCTATCAATGAATTTGAAAGAAAGCAGGCATGGTCTGATCGAAGTACCACAAAGTATAAGCTGAAGAAGCATCATTAAATAACCTTTCTCCCATACTCTATGCTCTAATTGTGCCTCTCTTGTATTGTACTGTATTTATTACACGTTCCAGCACATCCACACAAGGCTGAAGCCACTGGATACAGAACCTGTCACACCACAAGCTTGTTAAATTAGCAAGTAGTCAACAGAACAATGCATATAAATCCACAACAATAAATCAAGCATATGAAACCCTACACATCACTGCAACTACATAACCTACCATGTGGATATAAGATATATACAAAATTGGAACATGTACATGACAATAGATCAAATAATGGGTCATAGCTAAACAGGAAACTATCCCTAATTAAAATATTCATCTAAAGTGTAATAGGATTTAGTATGTAAAAAGGCACCTAAAGCTGCTCTAAATTGCATAATTTTATGGATTAACTCTTTTATATTTAAAGGAAGATGATTAAAAAGTTTAATACCAAAATAGTAAGGTCGTCTCTGGTAAGTTGTAAAATTTGTCTGAGTGCAATAAAGATCAAAATTACGTTTAGTATTAAGGCCATGAATGTGATATAAACCCATATTATTTGCAACAAACATCAATAAAGAAAATATACATTGGGACTGCAATGGCAAAATTCCCCAATCCCTAAATGAATCTCTACAAGAGTCCCTAGATCTCAACCCACTCATGGTTTTAATTATTCTCTTTTGAATTCTGAAAATTCATTCATTCATTTATTTCATTTCTGTTAATCCAGGCTGGTACAACCGTTGGATATAGAGGAAGTCAAAGAACATGCAGTCATAAAAAGATTTTGTCAAAATTAAATATAAGATTAACAAGCATACTATAAGAAGAATTGCCCCAAAAAATAATTCCATAGGACAAAAGTGAATGGAAATAAGAGTAATATACCATTTTTAATGTCTCTGTGGGCATAATGGGCTTGATCAGCCTCACTGAGTAACAAGCCTTGCACAATTTAGGCATGAGTTGGGATACATGAGCTTTCAATAGCTAATACCAAAAATTTCACATTTGTACTGCTTAAAATCACATTATTATGATAATTAACAGAAGTTACAGCATTAGAACTTGGCTTTGTCATAAATTGAACATGTTTAGTTTTGTCAAAATTTAGAGTTAATAAGTTTGAATTAAACCAATCATCAAGATTAGCAAAGAAAATATCAACATCATTTCTGTATTGTATATTATTATAACTACTAATAACTAAACTTGTATCATCTGCAAATAAAACTGATTTCACTGAGTTATTAAAAATTTTTAGGTAGATCATTTATATAAAAGAGAAAAAGAAGTGGACCAAGACTGGACCCCTGTGGGGTCATTTCTCATATTCACTCTGTACTTCAAAGTGGCCCTTCAAAGGGCCACTCTTTTCTTACTCTGTCCCCCATGACTTCCTTGTACCCCCTATGGGCAACTATGCATCCCAATTACTCTGTCCTTGGAAATGACATATTAAAGGTCCAGTAACATTTACACTAAAGACTTGTATTTTCTAGAATTTAAAGTCACATAGTCTGCTAAAAGTCAACTGATATTTCAGAAGAAAATTTCGCCTCCATTTTCAGGGTCGAAGAATAAGCCAGCAAGAAACTGGCATGAAGCAGGTAGCAAAGCAGAGCTCTGTTATGTTCTCCTCTGCAACATCGGCTGACTTTCAGAAGAAGCAGCTCTTCCTAACCATGGTTGTGAAAACTGGAAATCCTATATGGCCTTTACGTTGTACTCCTTATTCCCACTGGTTGCCTGAGGACGCTAGCACTTCATATCCCTACATTTGTACAACTTTCTTCTCGCTCAGCTGCTTCTCCTGCCCTGAGGATGAAGGCGGTAAATTCCACTGATGAAACATCACTATCTGTCTACCACACTACATGTCCTCAGATCCCAGATGACAGTAATCCTCACAGTCAGCGCTGCTAGGAATACCCTCTGTTGTGATCCAGTTCAGCAAACCACACCAGGCATTTCGGTACAAAAATGACGTTAAGAAAAACCACATTTTTCATATATAAATGTGATTTTCCTCATAACTAACTAACTTCATGGAGCTGAGTCCTTTTTGAGAAGTTGTCAGTTGTGCAGCTACTCAAGAACTTCCCAACATTTTATGGAACTCAAAGGTTCATTGTCACATTCACAAGAGCCCTCTACTGGTCCATATCCTGAGCCAGGTCAATCCAGTCCACACCACCTCATCCTATCTCTCTAAGATTCATTTTAATATTATCTGCTCACCTACCTCTTGTTCTTCTCAGTGGCCTCCTTTTTTCTGGCTTTCCCACCAATAGACTATATGCATTTCTCATTTATGCTACATGCCCTGCCCATCTAATGCTCCTTAACTTGCTCATTCTAATTATACTTGGCAAAGAGTACAAGTTAGATTTAACTTGTGGGAACATCCCACACTATCACGCATTTCTGCAACGCTCGCTCTTCACATCACTTTTCACCATCACGCGCGCTAACCAACCAGATTGCTTCAAACGTTCATATTTATACTGGGATCGCTACTAGCACGCATCTACGTCATTACGCGCGCTAGCCAATCAATTCTTCCTCCTCACTTTCGAGTTTGGCTCCGCCCCACCAACCAGTGTATAAAAAGGAGCAGCTTCGAACAGCTAACATCAGTTCATTCAGTCCGACTGCAGTCTACGATCAAGCCACACAGCAAGCAACTTCAGCCAGCAGGCTTCGTCGCCAGCGCTCGGTCTTTGGAGACATCGGCAGGCTGCGCCAGGCACGACTGCCTCAGCCGTCCGGCGCTCACACCCGACTCACTGGGGCACCGCGCCTGGACTTGCCGGTGGTCGTGTTACGGTCCGACTCACTGGGCATCTGGCGTAGCCACTGCCTCATGGCTCCTACGACCGCGCTCAACGACTAGCCTTTTCAACAGCTATTCACCATAACTAGCCTTTCTCCCTACCAGCGCGCGCCGCGCTATCTCTCCGATCAAGCATCTCAACAGTCACGGTCCTTTTCAGGGCCAACAAACTGTTCCGAAGAAGTGGGTTGTCATAGGAGTAATGACAAGACTACACACGTTGACAAGAGCCCCACAGATTACTATTCCCAAAAATATTGTTCCATTGTTACCAACTTAATAACACTTGAAATTCAGCTGTATTACTTTTATTAATGTTTCTAGCAAGGATAGTAATATTCTTAAATATTATGAGCTGCGTGTCATGATCAGAGAGTCCATTAATACACGGTTTAATGGTATAACTTCTTCTGTTATCAATAAATATATTATCTATCAAAGTGTCTGAATTATTGGCAATTTTTGTAGGGAAATATGCAGTATCCCTTAGATCAAGGGTCTCCAAACTACGGCCAGCGAAGGAATTGTTCAGAAATGCGCCAGTTGAACTAATTTTCCAATGAGTACTGGTAAAAAAAAATACTTATTCATAGATTTCAAATTCATTACTTAAGATTGTGTTTAAAATATATTGATATTCCATATTATGTTAATATTAATTATATTCACAATTTTACTAGTTCCGGACCGTATACTGAGCGGTATTTTTTGTACTTGTTCAGCCTCAATCGGCAGTGTCACTTTGTGGAAATGTAGGTAGCGTGAGCAGTTCGCTACTAGCCGTCTTGTTCACAAGACTTCTTGCAGTGGTGCAGTGTAATTGTAAGAGATCATCACCGCCGCCGGTGTCGTACTTATTACCATTTTTGTATTAAAGGCTAGTTATGCCCAATTTTGCTCTAACTGTTCCGAGAATTGGTAGCGAGGAAAATTGATAAGGCTACCGGAACTTTAGTCCATTCTACGACGGCCGGCGTGGTACAGCTATCGGTTACCCATCCCAGCCGACAAAGGATGTTTCCACAACGTTTCCTAGAGTTATTAATTTCTCATTTTATCCGGCCCGTTGAAAATACTGAATTACCTAATGTGGCCCGCATTTTGAAAAGTTTGGAGACCCCTGCCTTAGATTATAAGTATGTAACATGTCATCGAACCTTGATTTCCTATTATTATTTTCTAGATAATTAATATTTATGTCCCCACATAATATAAATTTCGAGTTATACCTATGAAGAAAATTAAGTATATAGTCTAGTTTGTTTAAAAAATAGTCATAATTGCCAGCTGAGGCTTTGTATATACAGAGAATAATTACCTTTCTCTCATTAAGTTTTAAGTGAATGGCTGCAATTTCCATGTCTTGTTCCTTACAATATTTTTGTAGATTTATAGTAGGAAAATTTAGATCATCTTGAATGAATATATATATACAAATTTTTAACGTCTTCCTACAATATCTTGCATCTAATTTATATTTAGGAATATGTGAAGCATCCATTTCATAGTCCGTTAGATGATGTTCTGCCAGGCAAATTACACTTGGTTCCTCATTTAATAAAGATATTATTAACTCATTAATTTTCCCTTTTATTCCCCTGATATTTTGATGAAATACACGTATCTTAAAAAAGTTATTTATATCATCGTTCCTATTACACGACTGATTACTTAGTCATAATAATAAATGTGCTTTTGTCTATTTGAAATTACTTCTGCCATAAAAATCCTTGCTTCTCGTAATGGTGGCTTTATTTTGCCTACTTGAGGTCCTGTCTTCTTGTGTCCTACCATCTGATATTCCACCTACTTCTTCTACTGGAACCGCTTGGTCCGCAACATGAGACATAACTTCTTCATTGTCTGATGTGGCAGCTTTAGTTTCTTCTTGTGTAATTAGATTATCCCCACTTGAAGTATAACTTATCCCATCCTCCTATTCAGTTTTCCCGTACAATGTGATTTGTTCTTCTATTTGTTTTTGAAACATTGTAGTAACAACATTAGCTATTAACAATCAAGTTCCTTCCGTCAAATGTGACACTTTTATAAGTTTTCCACCTCGTCACCACCTGCCTTACATGTTTCGGCTCACCACGGAGCCATCATCAGAGGCATTTATAGTAGAAAAAGAAATCACCAACACACAAAACTTCACTTTGTTAAAAATAGCCACGTTCCAGTTAATTAAAATAATTACAATAGTTAAAATTGCCGAGAGTGTCGGTTCACTAAAGGTTTTCCACACACCACGGTAGCTTTCTTATTTAATTCGTCGTTAATTCTGTAAAAATTATGTTTCGTTATTTGAAGTAAGAATTCTTAAAATTCCTAGAATTCTTTCCCGCTTGGCCCAGTCTTTTTTCTTCGGGATGTTGTTNTACAGTTCTAGTTACAAAGAATACATGGCATTTAATGCACTGTTTATGATCACAGAAATAGTTTGGCCTCCTGTTCCTTCTCAGCACTGGCACACTTACTGATACAGCAGGTACCCCAGTTCCGTGCACAGCCCCCAGATGCTATGCCTCCCAATCGTGTGCACTCCTGTCTTGAATAGCATGTGCCATACTGACCATTCACTCCAGTGCACTGGACATTTCTGAAGCGGATGACATTGAAGAATGAGAAGACTTGAAACACAAACAAATTTTCTTTATGTCAATCTGTGTTGCAGTAAACCTTCAGTAATGGAGGGAGAAGGAGCACAGACAATTAAAAAATCCAGAACTCTGGACCAATCCATATGGAGTGGCTTGGTTGCTAGACATTCCTCATGCAATTAACATTATGAGTGAAGAAGAAATATAATGCAGCAAAGCTGAAAGTGAATATTCAGAATGTTAGGTAAGGTTAGGGTTAAGGTTAAGGTTAAGGTTAAGGTAAATGAAAAGGCTGAGAATATCTGTACCATCGGTTGCCTATCAGACAGTATAGTTTAATTTATGAAGAATTCAATGACTATCAATTTAAGAGCAACTATGCAGTGTCTTAAAGTCCATAAATTATGAGATTTTATCCATTTTAATATTCTCCCATCTATGTCTATGTCTTACTGGTTGTCTCCTTCATTCAAGATTTTGCACTGAAACTTCGTATGTAGTTCCCTCCACTCCTGATGCGTGTTACGTGTCATGTCCGTCTCATCCTCAATGATCAGGATCATTTTAATAATGTTTGGTGAGGAGTACATGTTATAAAGCTCCTCATTACACAGATTTCTTGTTACTTCATCCCACTTCAGTCTAAATTGTTGTGTTGGCTGCTGCAATTAAGGGGTCGAACTGTCTTTTTCCTTTGACATCATGTAGAGTTTTGCTGTCCGTCCCAAATATGTCAGGAGAGATTCCAAGCAACGCACTTCTGTTCTACCAAAAAGGTAAAGGTAACGGTAAAGCTGTCCCTATGTTTAATTAATTAAGCATTGATTGATTGATTGATTGNGGTAAAGGTAACGGTAAAGCCGTCCCTATGTTTAATTAATTAAGCATCACTTCATGATGACAAGTCAAGGAGTGGAGGTACATCTCCACCATTCTTGACCTCAGCACTAGATTGTAGCGAGTCGTCAGCTTCACTCCCTACCTGCTTTATCTCTGGGGACAGAACCCCTGGTACCTACTGGATATGAGGCTCAGAAGACCCCAGATCTGGTCTGGATGCTGCAGGGTACCGAAAAATTTCTTGGCCTTGCCAGGAATCAAACCCCAGCCAACCAGCCCATAGTCCTTTACTACAATGACTGCCCTATCCCAGCTTTAATATCGATACAAAAACTTAAATTACACTTTTTAAATGTATTTTTCTATACTAATTGCTCTATGTTGATCAGTAAAAATATTCTTTAACAGCTTAAATGTAAGATTATAAACAAGTGTTTATGCTTGCTCCTTCCTTGGAAAAGTTTTCTGATATCACACATGAATCAGGGCGTATGCATTGGTGAAATGAACCCAAAAGTTGAACTTACATCTCTCATTACGGTCAACTGCAGTCTGATTTGTCCAGCTGCTGCCCGTTATACTGGTCTGGTTGGCCAAGCCCACAAGATCCTGCCCCCCAACAGCAGAGTAGAGAACCAGAAGCCACAGGAACCACATCACCACACCAACTAGCCCAGAAGACAAATCACCAGTGAAGCACCACACTTACTGTGCCTTATAGTCTTGGGCTGTTTGCCTATCCCATTAAATGTTCTAGCTGGAGTTTCCTTCACTTCTAATTAGACCCAAACTGTATTTCATTCTGCACTCAGTTTTATTTTCCTCTTATTTGCATTCCCAAACATATTTAACTAACATCACAGATGTTTACAGATCTCAGTAAATAAACAGAACAGTGCTTGCAGCAGACACAAAACTCTGTATGCTGTGATAATGGAGAACTGAAACACGTTTCCATATAAAGAACACAAATATGTTGTCATAACGGCACAACATTAACACATATTGGGAGTGGCTGTTTCAAGTCACAGTTAGAATATGGTCTTGATAATGGCTTCCCATAATTTTCTGAGAAAACAGCAGAATAGTACAAATATACTCTTCTGTAGAACCAAACATATTTTCAGTAGGAATTTTAACATGGACAAACATTGTTTCAGATTAGCACAGTAATGTGTCAAAATTATATTCAGGAACTCAATAGTTCAAATCCCAATTGAGGCATATCTACTCTAAACGTTTTTCCTCATGGCCTACAATAGTCACTAGAAAACTACTTTATAGCAGTCTATGTACAGTTTCTTCCATGTCTCCCCGTACCAGTCATTCTGGCTTCTACACTCTGCCTCAAAACCAATTCCTAGAAATGCCAAGCCTTTTTATAGTAAGTGCAGTTGCACAAAAGAAACCTACAGAACTTCCTCAAATGACCACAGAGGACAGAAAATAGAGATCTAAACATGGCTGCAGCTCCATACTAGAGTAGGAATCTTAAACATTACAAGCAAGTACAGATGGAAGAATACTAAGCACAGAAATAAATATCTTAATAATAATAATAATAATAATTTTCATCATCATTGCCTCTTACAATTTCAGGACAGCATCTATAGGATAGGATCTCCTACAGGATCATCATCCTTTAGGGTGACAAAACTTGCCCCACTGCCTAATTAAGCACTACACCATGAAGTCGTAGAGAGGCAGAGAACTAAACAGTCTTCACTTTGGCACTAGTTGGAGGTGAGTGGACAGGTTCATGCCCCAAGCACCCGGTACCCATCAAATAGGAGGTTGTGTGGACCCCAGAGCAGGTCAGGACATGGTGAGAAATCAGAAAACCTCTACTCATACTGGGAACTGAACACAAATCCAGGAATTTGGAACGGGATTCTTGAGTGGAAGAACGTGGTTCCTCCCTGTTAAATCTGAAATTTTCTGTGATTTCCATGATGGGTTGTGTATGTGATTCCTTATATAATCAACAATAATGTAGTCTGATGTTATGCTCACAATTTTCATGTAAAGAGCCTAATTCTGCTTGCATCCTGTTTGCATATAATCCAAGCTTCACTGCTATTAAGTCACCCTGGGATATGTTAAAGTCTTGTGAACTCCACTACTTCAGTTCTGAACGCTCGATTTATTGTTCCCATCGGCCTGTTGTAATTTAGAACATCTTCAGTAATATATGTAATTTTTATAGCTCATCAATTGAGTACTGGAGTGTACTACACCAGTCAATAAAAATCTCCGGAGAACTAGGTTTGAAGTTAGGGTATCCACTGCAATTAAAATGTTCACTAGGGAAAAAAAAAAACACAACTATAAATCTCACACCTGCAAGTAAAGTAAACCTACAGAAGTAAGTGGAGACAGTGAACACAAGTCAGAGCAAGTTGCACATTAATAAATTTAAACATAAATTGAGAAGGTTTCTTATAGAAAACTCTTTTTATTCTGTTGAAGAGTATCTAGGTAGGAATGATAAATTTTATCTTGGGGTATCCCAGTAATTACAGCTTTTTATCCCAGTTTGCATTCCTTAGTTTCTTATATATATATTTTAATTTTTATTTATCTTAAGACAATCTTATGTAATATATCAGTGTAATCTACTGACAATTTCTATATCCAATGGTTATGTACCTGAAAGGATCGATGAATGATAATAAAAATAAATAACAAATAAATCAGGAACGCTCCTTATCTCATTTTTGCCCAAAGTGGAAATAGAACTTTCCAGTCCATCTTGGCAAAATGCCCAAGATACAGAGACTGTGCAAACTTCATACGTGTGGGTATGGCTCTGAACCAGGTTGCAGTCCCCATCTACAGGATGAAGGGGGTGGAGTCCCCACATTCTTAGAGCTGAACAGTGACCACGTGAAACCATGTGTAAGAACTGTGAACCAGTCATCTCATCCACCAATCAGAATCCAAGAATTACATGTTGCGTCTCAGTTTCCCATGGCGGTTACTGTGCACAGTGCAGTCTTCTAAACTGTAACACCACGTGGTTCAGAGAGAGCCAATATTTCAGAGAGGCATATTGCCTCCATCTTCAGGGTTGAAACTCACCTTCTCGCATGCGTTAGTGTAGTTGGTTGAGGCACTATGCTACAAGCCAGAAGATCGTGGGTTCATTTCCTAATGAGATTATTGGATTTTTTCAATTTACCTAATCCTTCCAAGCATATTATGGCCCTGAGGTAGACTCAGCCTCTAACAGAAAAGAATACCAAGGATCTTCCTGGGGGATAAAGTATGGCCAGTGCATAAGGCTGATAACCTCACTGCCATTTATGAGCCAACTGTCTATAAATGTTGGAGCCTCGACCTCTCACAACCCTAAGGCCTTTATAGCCTGTAACATAGACAGCTTTACCTTTTACCTTTTTATCTCTGACACACCAAAAAGAATAAATGAATGAATAGTGATTACAAGTAACATTTCTGGAGGTGAATATGGGGTCATTTCAGCAGAAATCCTTTCTATGTCTCACAGAACCATTATAATACCTTCACACACACACACACACACACACACACACACACAAAATCATCAGTTGCCACATTCTGTAATATTGGCAATCAGTAAAGACTTGGACAATAGTTCAAATTCCCACGAACTGTGGCATAACTTACAATGTTTTCCCAACAGCAGTAATATTGTAAATGCAGGAAGCTTTCCTGAGTATTTACATAAAGTCACATTTCATTGTAAAAATATTCATATGAATTCACATTAAAGTGAAATTCATGCAAAGGATACAATCTTTTGGGATGTGGCCCCATGTGGTCCAATTGATCTAGACTACATAACATGATATCCCAGGAGACAGCACTCAGCATGATCTCCACTGTGAGAAACTCAGTCTCACACATTCACTCCAATGGAATCACAGCTCTGTTAATCATTCCTTGTCTGTGTCAACCAAATAGAAAAACACCTAATAACGGGACTTCACTTGTAAGCCATTAGAAGCAAACTGTACACCTTGCAATTTCTGACATGCCATCACAATGATACCAGTGAATAAGGGTTACATAAAGCAGTCTACTTTCTGGGAAATAATCCTGTGTAGTCCAATAAAAGTCAACTGATGTTTCAAAGGAACATGTCGCCTCCATGATCAGGATTGAAGGGTAAAATAACCAAGAAAACAGTATGAAACTTTGCTTGCTGCCTGCTTCACGCTGTGTTCTTGCTTGGCTGTCTCTTCAGCCTTGAAGATAGAGGTGATATGTTCCTCTGAAACATGAGCTGACTTTCTATGGACTGCATGCATAATATCCCAGAAGACAGAACTCTTCATAACCACTGCTGTTAACTGGATCCTACAGGGTTATATTGTTCAGCATTATTTATTTGCTACCTTACAAAAAAATTCCTATTTTTCTGGTGTATATCTTGGATTTAGCATGGGGTTTGATGAGTATTTCTGGTGCTGAAGTCAGTTCCACAATTTGGAAACAATGTTCTCACGTGCTAGAACTTCTGGTTTGTTACAAAGAATGTTCTGTAACTAGTGGAATTATTATGGGCTTAAGTCAATTCGTGGTGGATCAACAGCACAAAGATGCAAAAATGCAAATATTGTTTTGTCATGTCTCTATGTCTATTTCCCGCCATATATAACCCCTAAAACGCCAAAAATATTTCCATAAAATTTGATAGTGGGGAGATGTATTATAATTTTGTAGACACATCATGTGTATTTGTACACGCATCTCACATGTCACGCTTTAAATATTTATCAGAGCAAAAAATATATCAAACAAACATTGTAGATAAAAATGAAACACTCAACTTTATGCCATGTAAACTTGCTTCATTAGATTCACAGTTTCTGAGATAATTAACAAAATGGATGATATCTGCAAGAACTGGTATGTTTGCTATGAGTACATTTCATAGCTTGTTAAATTCAATGATAATTAATTATCATTATCCAATAGGAGTTATAAGATAAAGATAGACATTACTAATTTAATTTCAATATCTTGTGTAAAACTGAAACTGATTTACAAAATCCTTTAAATGTACAGATGATGATTCCAAGAGCACAGCAATCTGGTGATTAGCCATAGCTGAAGGATATCATCAAATTTTGTGGGCTTGTGGGGTGTAAGATGGTGCAGAATAGGAAAAAATACAAACTTCTGTAGGAACATACGTCACCCCTTTCAGGATTGGTCCTGAAAATGGAGGCATGCAGCACTGGCATCCATCTCCAAGACAGCAGGGGTGCCACAAAACAGAAAACTACAACCTGAGCAACCACCAAAAACGAAAACCTGAAAATGTGTACATTTTATCTTCAAAGATTACGTGTACATTACATGATAGAGATACAATTGCATTGTTCTGAATGGACTTGCCTTGAACCAGCACAATAAGTCAGTGAGAAACTTAGAGAACGGCACTGTTAGGCCAGCTTATCATACATTAGCAACGTATCTGACGATATGTCAAACTAAATCCTCTGTTCTCAGTATCAGGTGAAGATTCAGAATTGTCCGTTACCACAGTCAACACAATTGGCTTTGAAGAGGCTGCAAATAAAGAAATTCCTGTTAGCACACAAAAACAAAACCCTTGTTATGTGTTTCACTGTAATAAGATACAGAACTGCTGATGGGAGGAGATAGTCCATTGAAGGGTGTTCAAAATCAGGTTCATGGACCAAATGTGATCCACAATGAATATGAATATGGGCAGTTAGGATTAAACACTGATTTAAAATTTAACCAAAATCTTATACAGGCATCAGCTTGATGAATTAGCACACACTCTACATAACCTGCTGGCACCTAACTGCAAACATTCTCAGAACATTCTGTACTACTGGAAACTTACTTGTGGTTGGCAACAATGCATTGCCACAAAATCTGTCAGTAGTTAGGCTTGTTCCAACCTGGGAAGGGTTTGGTATTACAATGAAATCAGTGATGCAATCTACACCACTCAGAGCTGCATTTGGAGTTCCTGCAAGAAATAGACAGGATCTTGGAGACAATCCAATGTACAGATGATCAACACTGAACACTCTGAGGTGTCTTTCTCTGACTGAAACACCAAAAGATCGACCTGGAGTTCTGCCCTCTAAATAAACACTGAATTTATGTCCACCAATGAAGAAATCTAACATCAACATAAACCTTAAAAGCATGAAATTTTTCTAATTTTCTATGTTCTGAGAGAGTACTCTATTTTGTAAATTTCATTCCATAAACCATCTATGACACTGATAAATAAATAACAAAAGAAGTGCTCCATCCATATTTTCTCTGTTCCAGCACATCAGCAGTGTTGCCACCCTAGCAAAAGTCACGGCTGAGTGACACTGGGGGTGCACCCTGGGCCCGGTAGTGGTCTGAGTGCTTGGAGCTATTCGAGAAGTTGTCCCCCCCATGTCAGTACAATACATTTGTTTCAGTTGAGTTGAGATTATCTGCAAAGCCTAGCTATGTTGTTAATTGGTCTGACAATTTGATAGTGCAACATGTCATAAGTTATGATACAGGAACTTCACATGATTACTACAATGTTAAGCGAGAAATAAATTTATTGGATAATTAGTGAAAGGCTTGTCATGGTTAAGCCACGCCTCTGTACTGTACTTACCAAGTACACTAGTGTCAAATGCATCTGTGTCACCTGACACAGTGAAAGAGTATGGATCTTTTGGATCCTGGTTCCACTCTATGCTGCAGTATCCGGGTGCCAGCTGAACACCCACTCCATAGTTGGTACTGGCAAGCTGTTGAGTGCCTTGTGGAAACACAGAATAATGAGAATGGAGAAGGGGGATTCAACATCTTGCATATTTAATCACATCCTTTGGTAACTTACATAAATAAAATCCAATTACAATGCCCAGAAGTCTTGCATCACAAATTAACCAACCCTATGGAACAGAGTCCTTGAAATGCCAACAACTGCTCCACTGGTCAACGAATTTCTAGTGTTTCATAGATATTTGAAGGTTTATTGTTGCGTTCATAACAGCCTACCTTAACACTTAAAAAACTTAATGATGTAGAGCCTTTCTTGAGAAGCTAATAGTTGCTTAGATATGCGAGGAAATCCCTGCCTTTTGTGGAAGCCAAATGTTCATTACAGTGTTCAAAACAGCTCCCTTCCTTACACCAACTGTCCATGGAGGCAGCAGGTTTCTCAAAAATGTTAGTAAATATCTGCTGAATTACATGGCATGACATTTTGTAAGACGTGAACCTTCAGCTGCATCTCTTTGTTCCACGTGGCTTATTTTATGATGCTGTCAGTACCTCAGACTACACAGCGTTTAACAGTAAGATGATGAATTGCAAAGTATTTAGAAGGAATCAGTTACAGCATAACTGAGTTAAAATCCATGTATTTGGCCGGAAGGATTAAGGAAAACTATCACAAACCCCAGTCAAAATAGCCAGTGACCTTGACGAAATTTGAACTGATCACTTCCTGTATGTGTATCTCAAACGTTATAACTACACCAGTCTGCTCAATACATGCCGCCTGTATGTTTCTACATTACATGCATGTGCTTTTGCAGTAAAGTTATTTGTCACATACCAGAACTACTTCTAGAGACAGAAGGGTAGTTGAAACTCTTCACATGGCCTTCGATTTCTCTGAAGTACATCAGATAACCAGCTGGAGCTGAAACATGCAAACAAATAATACAGAAGAAGCTGCAATTATCACTGTCAGTGTTAAATTTGGAGGCAATAATATATTTAGAAAACAATTTCTGTGCACATGTAACATTTCTTGCTTAAATACCTGATTACATTATCTTGAAAATGTATAGAAAAACATACATGTACTACTCCCACACTAAGATATGGAAGGTGACAATGGATACATCTGCAGGATGTCTCCTCTATCTGTAATCATGATGACATCTGATTCATGCTTGTTTCTTTCTTGGCTTAACCTTCAACCCCGAAGGTGGAGTCAACATGTTCTTCCAAAATGTTAGTTGACTTTCAACAGACCACATAGAATTATATGCCAGAAGACAGACCTCTTCATAACCACTGGTGTGAGAACCTCAGATCCTACATGGATGGTACTTATAGCTACATTTTACAGTTATTTTGACAAATGTACATTTGGGATTCATTTTTTACCATGAGATACTGCCAATTGCGAGTATACTGCTAAAAATGGCAGGCTGATAGGTGTGTGAGGGACTGGAAATAGAAGCATTGTGCTGGAACTCATATTACAAGGTTCTCTATCATCTGATCTTCAAATTCAATGTTCTTAGGCAATGACCTCAGCAATGAATTACCTCTATTTTAAGATTTTCCTCAGTTTAGTTTTCAAATATACTGTTGACCAAATAAACCTTAAATATGGGTCTCACTACATCAGTAATCATGCATGTTCATTCTTTGTACAAGCACTAACCTTTGTCAGGGCTGTTACACTCTATTTGACTGATCTTCATGTTCCACTTGGGAATGCCGGATGCTGATTTGCTGGTTACAATGTTTAATTTTATTTGGGTATTCTTTGGGTGGAAGTCCACATACACTGCAATAAATTAAGTTTGTTTGAATGCTTTTACCCTTATAAATTACAAATTAAACAAATAATTTATCACTAACAATTAAAAGTAGAAAAACTGTGTACTTTGCAACAATGGCCCATTTTCTGTCTGCTCAGTTTGTACCACTTCCTTCAGTCTGTGAATCCTACTGCAACATTTGTGAATATGGTGTTGTGTTGCAGGCAGGGGGAAAAGTAATTTCAGCATCTTGTGTAACCAGTTTATCTCCATATTTAGCAAAGTATACACTTGCAAGGTTTCATTTTTATTGGAAAAGTATTTCGTGATATGTGATTATTAATTCAAGGCCTCTTCCAAATGATTCTCCTTGCATATATAATGATTCATAACAACTGAATGCTGTAGTGCAAAACAAAATACATGTACATCTGCATTATTACCATTCTCATTACCAATTGACATATCTTTCAGTATAAAACTAATATGAATCCACTGATTTACAAAAATTTAATAATGCTTCAGCACAACTCATAGACATAAGACATGAAACTTCTATGGGGACTCAGAACATTAAAATATTCTTCTGTGATGAGTCATGTCAGTTCATAGAAGAGATCAAGTGCTTCAGAGATCTTTGTCTCCTTCCATCTGGGAATCATGTGGACCCATTGTTCCTTGATGACAGTGCCAGAGAAGGTCTCCAAAATGTTCTATTTATGCTCTGAATCGATAATTTGGGTTGCCTCAGATGATTTTATCACAACTCATGAAGTCTACGTTGCTTTTTTCTGCAACCAACCAAAGCCACCGTTCCCTTATCCATCCTGTTGGGAGATCACTCATCTTACAGTAAGCAGAAAAGTGCCTCATAAGACAAATAACAGTATGTTACTGGAATCAAATGGTAAAGCTAAAGCTATCCCTGTAACAGGCCGTGAAGGCCCATAGGGTTGTGAGATGTCAAGGTTCACACATTTTCTCTAGACAATCAGCTCATCAGATGGTGGTTGGGTTGTCAGAGTTAAGAGCCAGCCTCCATTTTCTCCCAGGAAAATTCATGGTATTCATTTCTGTTAGAGGCTGACTCAACCCCAAGAAAATAGTGCAGCTGGAAGGATTAGGTCAATTAAAAAACTGAATGACCTCAATGGGAATCGAATCTAGGACCTTCTGAAATTAAATTGATAAATGAGAAAATGAATATGTATGAGTTTTTCTTCTTAAGAATGAATAACTAAACGCATGAACCTGAATATGTACAAGGTGTGAAACTTCATTAATTTTCAAGAGTACTCTCTTCCATTATATGATGGAATGCTGTCCAAGAGAAGTTCACGCCTAATGAGGAGATGCACAGAGTTATTCTCTTACCGTGATGGCCGGCGTTTTCACCACAGATTTTAGGTACTGCTGTAATGCCATCTATTACTTCAAGGTAGTCATCAACACATTGGCCACGCACATCTGGCTGAGCAAGACTGAAGTCAAGAAAGTCGATACGTAACTGTTTGGAGAAAAAAAAAGCAAAGATTCATGTTGATTTTAATCCCTGATATTTGCATCCTGTGGCAGTGAAGTGTCTGCTGATGTTTTGCTGCCTCCACTTTCAGAGTTGAAGTGAACAGGTTCGGTGGGGGTTTGTGTACATATAGATTTTCGTACAGCAGTAGTTGGGGGGAAGGGTGGTGGGTGGGGCAGGGTCCTAGCCAATAGGGGCTGTGGCCCCTTCAGGGCAACCAGGCATGCCCAAACCTACCAGAAACTGGTGTTCCCAAATGATAAGCCATCCCATTTTGGTGAGTCACAGACACCCGTGAGTGTATTTGACAAAAATCTACATATACATGGACACTCACCCACCCTAAAGACTCAAGCAGCATGAGCCTCCAAAACTTCAGCAAGCTGTTCACATTCACACTGCGCAAAAGCACAAGAAAAGAATCAGAATCAACAATGAACCACCACTCAAAACTAACTCCTGAAGCTGAGCCCTTCTTGAGAAGCCGCCAATTGTGCAGATACTCAAGAACTTCCCAGCATTTTATGGAACCAGAGGTTCATTACCATGTTCACAAGAGCCCTCCACTGGTACCTATCCTGAGCCAGATCAATCCAGTCCATACCATCCCATCCTGTCTCTCTAAGATCCATTTTAATATTGTCCACCCACCTACGCCTTGGTCTCCCCAGTGGTCTCATTCTATCTGGCTTCCCCACCAATATCCTATATGCATTCCTCTTCTCCCCCTTCGTGCTACACGCCCTGCCCATCTCATACTTCTTCAGTTGATCATTCTAATTATACTTGGAGAAGAGCACAAGTTATGAAGCTCCTCATTATGCAGTTTTCTCCAACCTCCTGTCACTTCATCTCTCTTGGGTCAAAATATTCTCAACACCCTGTTCTCAAATACCCTCAGTCTATGTTCCTCCCTTAATTTCAGAGACCAAGTTTCACACCTGTTCAGAACCACAGGCAAAATTATAGTTTTGTATACTCTAATTTTTACGTTTTTGGACAACAGACGAGAAGACAAAAGGTTCTGGACCGAATGGTAGCAAGCATTACCCGAGTTCAATCTCCTCTTAATTTCCTCCTGAATCAGGTTTTGATTTGTTATCATCATTCCCAAATATCTGAACTGTGCCACGTTTTCAAAATATCTGTTTTCTATCTTTATGTCATGATTTTGCCCTGCATTTTGGTGATGAGACAGCAACATATACTTAGTTTTCTCTGTGTTTACTTCTAGACCAACCTCCTTACTAGCATCAATTAAAGTCTGTGTGTTTTTCTTTATAGTATCTACATTATCACTGCAGATTCACATCATCAGCATAGACCAATGGCTGATGTGTCCCATATCTGGATGTGGCAAAGATTACTCCTCTAACTCCATTACCATTTCTAGTTTCATGTAAACTCTCATTCCCAATTGCCAGTTTGAAAACGTCTTAACTCTCTACTTTGGCATTGAAATCTCCTAACAAAATTTTCATGTGGTGCTTCGGTAATTTATCAAATATATGTTCTAGTTCTTCATAGAACCTGTCCTTTATATCATTAATTTTATCTTCCGTTGGGGCATGAACATTCAGAACGATGATATAATTGGAATTTGTAAAGCCACTTTTAAGAATGGAAGTTCAGTAGGATAAACTATGTTTCCTGAATGAAGAATATCTTCAGTGCTTTAGACAGGATCATGTCCCTCTCTATGTCACACTTACATGACATCACTATAAGCCCAGCATAGCTCACATAGCTGGAGATATGCAACCATGCAGTACATGCCCTGCCCATTTCACCCTCCAAATTCTTGACACCCAGATAATGAATTTCAAGTCAAACAGATTATAATAACATGAATTCTAAAAGCTTTGTGATATAAACCCCTCCTTCTTCAAATAATACATAAATTTACATGACCTTTCATCTTTGCCAGTCAAAAGAAAGTTTTCCTGAACCGTAAGGCTGTGCAGTATCCGCAGAACCTAAGTAGCTTTACAGCCTCACTGCAACTGCATCATGTTGTACATTGTTCCTGTACTGTCATGAAGAAAATCTGAAGTGTTTTGTTGGCTGCAGCTACATTTCCTGAAAGCATCTCCAATAAATCTTACTGACTGTAAAAAGGTAAAGTTGTCACTGTGCTCAATTATTTAAGCACTCTGCCATGAAAACATATGGGGGGAATGGAGGTATAACTCATATATTCTTGACCTCAGCACCAGATGGAGTCAAGTGGTCAGCTTCGTGACCTTGCATCTTTACCCCTGAGGAAATAGTCCTCAGTGTCCATTGGATAGGAGGGTGAGCAGACCCCAGCACTGGTCTGCACGCTGTGGACAAAAAAGAAAATCTTGTCCTGCTGGGAATCGAACCCAGACAGTCCAACCCATTGCTATACGGACTGAACTATCCTGACTCCTACTTATTGACTGTATTTTAAACAATTCTTCAAGAAGTCAGCGACCCCCCTGGGTGTTACAATCCAGAGTTTGAGAAACCATTGACAACATTGCTTCACAACTTTCTGTTTGTTACGAACATGTTCTTTTCTTACCTGACAAATATTTTTGTTACTCTTGGAGACTGTGAGGGGGCAGAACGGGTTTAAGTTTTCTCTAGATGGTGTAGGTAAGTCAGGGTTGGTGAAATATGTGACCTTGTTATTCGTAGATGAGTCACATGACCTGTAAACTGCAAAAAGAACACTGAAAAACTGCTGCAACATCTCTTATAAAAGAATATATGTCATACAGCAGTTCAGCATATGAAACAATCACATGCTTTCATACAATTTCTGTGCTTCAAATATGCAGCCATGAACCAATATAACAACTTAAGGTCCCAGTCTGACCCACATCAACACACTTACTGACACAGCAGACACCCAAATTATAGGCACAGGTCCCAGATAGTGTGCCTTGCAAGCCGGAGCACTGTCTCCTTGAATAGCATGTTCCTTGCAGACCACCGGCTCCAGTGCACTGAACACGAGTGAAGCTGATTATATTTAAAATTGAGTCACCTTGAAACATAAAAGATATACAGCTCATGACAAACTGGCAGAAGCTATGCTCCTACAAAAATATAGCCATACCATAACTTGTATAAGAATACAATATTTTATTCATTCATTGTTTGTTTAATTATGTTGTGCTTAGCTCAGAATATACTGTGTCAAGTGGTCAGAAGATTACTGAATAATGAATTGGAAAGGAATTGGTCATGTCCTAATTCGGGGAAATTTCCCAGCATTTGAAACGGAGGGGCAGAGAACAACGAACATTCTCAGGAAGGAGAGCTACGCTCCATGCAGAAATCTGAAAATGCTTCTTCCTGAATACATGGTAGACTGCTACCATGCACTTAATTAAGCATCACGTCAAGACAATATGTAGGGGAGTTAAGATATACACATAGTTCCAGGTAATCTTAGTCTCAGTGCTAGATGGACGTGAGTGGTTAGCTTCATGACCTAGCTGCCTTACCCCCAAGGAAAAGCACCGGTCCTCACTGGATTGGAAGTTGGGTGGGCTCCAGAAGCAGTCTAGATGCTGTGTACACAAGAAAAATTTCTTGCCCTTATTGAGAACTGAACCCTAGCTGCTCAGTTGTACAGCTGTAGCCTAGATGGTCATCATACTGTCTACTGTTCCCTACCAAATTTTGCAGAAATCCTTTAATTCAAAGCAAAGTTGTTTCCTTTTACAAAGGCAAAGAAGAGTCAAAGATAATAGGTGCCCTCCATGTTTGTGAAATTTATCCAAAAATTTAATTTTTACAACTTACTGGTACTTCTCTCATCATGGTTCATTGCAGACCTATTTGTCCAATTGCTGTTCACCAAGCTCTCAATCTCTTTGCCCCTGACAGCAAAACAGAACACCAGCAACCACAACAGATGCAACATGGCAGCAGTCAGCCTTCAGACAGATCAGATGTGAAGCAACTTGTTCCCTACCTCATATAGTCCAGCAATATTTGTACATCCCATTAATTGTTCTGCCCAAAATGAGGTTCCTTTCAACTCAGACAAGACCACAACACAACCCACTCAATTATTGTTTGCTCCCAATTACATTTTTAAACACAGTTAAGTAGGACTAAGGATGTTTGCAGATGTGAATAGACAGACAGATGATCAAACAGACAGTGTTTGTCATTCATAACTCTGTGTGCTGTGACATTTGAAAGAGACCAGAGTAATACAGTACAGTATTGCAGTAACAGACTTAATCTATCTCACAATGGGTGTAGAGGAAGCATGGATGACAGCTGGAGGCAAACAGGGCATGTCCCCCCATATTATTTAAAATAATAAAAATTTGAAGACAGACAGAAATATACAAAATAATAATATTGTGGCATGTAGGCCCATTGCTAGGCAATGACCACGAAATGAGCTGATACATAACAGTCGTTGCTAGGTATTGTCTCTGTAAACAACGGCTGTTGCTAGATAATGGACACAATAGACATGCATGCAACAACAGAACAGCTGTTGGGGGCGGTGTTCTTTCTGCAGTCCATGCCAAGGCTATATAATGACAGACAGATACCATAAGACAGACATTAAACCATGTGGAGGCATGGTCGAATACCTCTACCATGACCCTGCGAGTCATAGGAGGTGATGGAAAAGGAAGTCTCAAATCTGAGACAGTATAACAGTTTTGAGTCCCAAGGGACTGGGACCCAAGGAAGGCTGTGCTAGCAAGGGCCAGCAGCATATACAAAGACAGGCCTGTCCTCGTCAGAGAGGGCGCCCCAACAAAAACAAGATCATAACTGTCCAACAGTAACAAGTATCTGGTCATGAGCCCCAGATGGGGCTTGACACCAAGACTTACTGACTGACAGCCAGTTGCAATGTGACTTTGTCTTGATTAGAAAAGACGCTTGAAATAGCAGTGAGGGCAACAGAAGGTTGGTGTGAAATAGTCGCCAGCCAGCAAGGATGTGAACATAAAAGGTGAGGTAGCTACAGCATTGGAAGCCATTACCAGGCGACAACTGGTGAAGATACAGCAGACTGGGAAGGCTTAGTGGGTGCTGTAATGAATTGTTGTGCATGAATTAGCGATAGCACTGTAGTTGCTTGTAGTTACAATCGGGAAGTTTCCAATAAATTCAATTACCAATCCAAACCCTGTCTACAGTCAGTCACGTGACAATACTACAAATGTTTTTGTTTACTCTTCCAGCTTATTTGTTCTAAGGTGAACAGTAAATAGTCCAAAATGGCTTAAATATAAGTTTGCTCACAAATCTTACAGCTCCCCTTTCCTCCTGAAAACTGGCTGCCCTCCTTTGGAAAATGTTTGTTCAAAACACCAGTTGGCATCCAGTTATAATAACTGGTGTTTATTTTCAATGTTTGGGAAAATAATGTAATCACACAGACACAGTGAGCACCACCAAGCTGAAACATCTATCTTTATTCATAAAATACAGAGCATCAAACAATTATTTGTGCTGTAACTGATGGACTAATGTTTCCTTGACATTTTATGTCACTGTAAATGCATCCTTTCTTTTGCCACTGAATTAATTCCCCTGGATCTACCTATAGCAAAGGAGGAATAAATACAAAGACATCACATACTGCCCATTACATGTTGTCTATTCTTTCTGAAAAACAGACTAAAGCAATAGCGCTCTACTTCATACCCTGAAAGCCATTAGGTTAACTGGCAGAGCTTCATGTACTCTGTGTTAAGACATGTCAACATAACCGTATTTACCCATCCATTTGGTTTTGCCATAGAAAAAGAAGTGGACCACTCCATGCAGGTCACACAACATTGAAGTCCAGTTCTGACACGCCTTCTTCTTATTCTGCAGGTTCTTCATTCACATCTGTGTCCAGGTTGTTCTTGGTCCTCCTCATGCTCTCCACATAAAGCGTTGGTATGACAATGCCTCCTTCCACACCCCTTCCAACTCATCATCTAACCATCCTACCATCTGATCCTACACAGTCTGAGTTACTGACTGCATGGTTACATAAAAAGTAAAGTTGTACTTGTGCTTAATTATGCACCACACCTTTAAGATATATGGGGGGAGTGGAGGTACAGCTCCACACATTCCTTACTCCAGCATTATATCTAGGGCTGAGCGGTTAGCTTCACGATCTGAGCACTTTCTGGCAGTGGACAAGCCTCTATTCTGTAGGGGTCTGGGTGAACCCCAGATCTGATCTGAATGTTGTCGAGAAGTAATTAAGTACCACACCATGATGATGTATAGTGGAGAGTAGGTATAGCTCCACCTCTATTTACCTCAGCAGTGGAGAGAGATGAGTGAACAGATTCACGCCCCAGCCACTTTAATTCCAAGGAAAGAGCCCCTGGTATCCAATGACAGGAGGTTGGGTGGGCCCCAGAGCCAGTCTAGATGCTGTGAAGTAGAATTGAAACCTGGCTGCCCAGCACATGGTTCATTGTTGCACTGAATTAGCTATCTTGGCTCCAGTCAAGCAAGTAAGATGTAAGAAACATGGAAAAAGTAGCAGATTCTTCTAAAATATCAGTACCTAACTACCAGACTACACTGCATCACGTCCCAGAAGACTATCATCTTAGTATCCACTGCCACGGGAGACTCATATATCAATGTCAATTTATGGAGCTTTACCTGAAAATTCAATAGAAATTTACCTGTTCAAGAAATTCCTTCCAGTTATGGAGAGAGACAGTTCATGTTACCATAATCGTATCTAATCCTGAGACAGCTACTTCCCCCAAGAGCCAGCTTACACTTTTGCATGCCTTGAATCAATTAGACTGGTTTCAAGAACTGGCATTACAATTAGCACAGATGAAGAAACTAGCTCTGTGTTAAATACTGTCAATCCTTCCAGTCACACTATGGACCCAGGGTCCACTCAGCTTCTAACACAAAGGAGTACCATGAATCTTCTTGGGGGTAAGGGACTGCCAGTGTGTGAGGCTGACAACCTCAGTGCCATCTATGAGCTGTCTAGAGAAAATGTGGGAACCTTGATGTCTCACCACTCTATGGGCCTCCATGGCCTGTTACAGGGATAGCTTTACCCTTTTTTATATTTACTGTTATTTGAAGGTCATTAGAGAAAATTGTGAATTTTTCTATGCAACTGCATTTACTATGATGTGACCTTGGAATTTCTAGCACAGAATACTACTGCAGGGCTTTGAAGTTATGTTTCCTTCTCTCAAGCATCATTTCACCATACATTTTGCCACATTTTGTCATGATTCCTGTTTATGGCTCTTAAGAAATGAACTGGGAAATAAAGAAAAGTTTTATAACACTTGTAAATCAATTTACTATTTAAATATATCCTTTATATATATATATGTATAATGTATATTAAAAACAATTCTATTTCTCATTAGTGTATACTAGCATTACTACTATAAAAATTGACAATATTTAAGACATCATTACTTCAATCCATACAACAATCACTCGCGAATACAATCTTCAGCATTTCATGGGACACGACTTCATTAAAAAGAACACAAGTCACTACGAGCCAGAATTTCAGAGCACAAATGCAGGAAGTAAAATAACATACTCATATCTGATTATAACACAAGGTTTAGACTAAGGAGGAGGAGTACAATGACAAAAACATTAGTTGCCAAAATGAAATTCATGTCTTGCAGAAAGCAAAACATTAAATGAATAAGTTTTAAACAACACAGTTATAACAAATCAGCACTCAAATTGCCAACATATAACATAGTATGCATTTCAACTGTTAGAGATGTATGAAACACTTCCTATTATTAACCTTTCATAACTTGAAACTATTAAGACTAGTGGAATGCCAGTTGAAAATTCAATCACAAAATTTGACAATTCTCATCTGTAGTCAAGATTTTCACAGACAACCCGCCCATTGTTACATTCTAACACATTATATTCATTGAGGGACATTCTAAAATCATAATTTCTTTGCATTTCAATGCATATGTATGCAATGAATTTGGAAACTTCTGGAAAGACACCTTGATAAAGTAAGTACAATAGTAATAGTCTAGAGTTCCCTCCTGTCAGCAAATATCAATACTGTAATTCTCACTTATGATGCTGTAATACACACAGAAACACTGTTGTTCACTGCTGCCATCTTCTGGCCCTGTAGCAAGTAAATGAGGTTAGTTTTCATTTATTTCCATAGAGGTGGCATAACAATAGACATTCTGGCAATCACTCATTGCCTTGCTTAGACTAATTACATAGAGAAGAATTTTTATTTTACTTTCTTATTTATATGAATTTCCACTGAATGCATTAATGTCAAGATATATGGTGCAGTTTTTAGTTATGAAAAGATAAAACTAGGAGTCACATTTCACACTACACCTTAATCTGTAAACAGAACATGCCATGGGAATCCAGTAGAAAGTTGTTACATTGCCAAGTTCTAGAATTCCAACAGTTTCTCAAATTTATACCTACATTTCTACTTCCCAGTACCACACTGCTAACCATTCCCCAAAATGTATATCTTTTATATAAATACACATATATATCTCACTATTGTAGATAACATCACAGTATTGTGAATGTAACATTCACAAACCTGAGCCTTGAGCCAATGCTCACAAACAAAACAAATCCCAGGTACAATCAAATCAACAGATACACTTTTAGGAAGGCAAACACAACTGGACTAGGAAGAACTACAAATTGTTGAGCTAAACATTAATGGCACCCAAAAGGTATTTCTGTGAAAGACACTTATTTGAGGCAGCCATACTGTCTGAATTAGCAAGAAGAGTTCTTGGTTTGTTTCAAGGGGAAGTGAGCCCTAGCTCGGCAATGTTGATTTTATCAAATTTTGATGCAGTTTTATAAGGAACCATAACTCCTATAGATCTGAAATCTGGCACAGATGCAGATGAGGGTTCTCTG